TACAAGCTCGACGCGTCTCGGTAGGCGCTCCTGGGTACAATTGCATACCTGGTAGAAGATAAGACTAGTAGATTAGGATACGGTCCGGCATCACGATGATCCGGTTGATGGATGGAGCGAGGGAAGTACAGGAAGGAAGGATAAGTATTGGCGCTCAGTTGAGTACAAACATACAGTGTAGTATAGCCTCTATAATCCCTCAGCTTCAATTCCAGTGGCTACGTTTCCGAGTGGAAAGCCGAACATCGTTGAAGTGGTTTTGTCATGCTTGAACTCCAACTCGTATCCAAGCAGAAAGAATCCGCATGAATTATCGCTCACCCGAGACATGACAAGGTCTCGGCATAATAATGGCCGGAGAGTTAAGATAATTCTGACCCCCCGTTGCCCACTCGAACCCGACTTACTAGACAGCATTCCATTTGTTATCTTCCACCAAGTTTCCATGCCGAAGGCTGCGGTTAGTGATCAAGTGGGCTCATTCATAAAAGCATGGGACTGTCGGAGGTCGTAACAGGTCTTCGGACAAGAATCAAACTGACGGAGATAGGCGGGTGTGGCAGTTCGTGATCATGTGAGCGCGTTTGATGGATCGCGATCGTGGCTGTGTTGCTGTCAACCTTTCCAAACGCATTCTCCGATCAATCATTCATGGCGAAAGGAACTGCGTGAACGAACCAGTGGCAAGGACGTCGGATATCGCCGTTGGAAACGCTCAAGTAAGTTACCATGCGGTTTTCTGAACGTCGCCGACGTCGTCGCAAGCATTGGACTTGTACCTAGCCCACGGTCTACAATCAAGAATGCTTCGCAAAGTACAGTTACGAAGACATCGGAGGACGAACCAGCACCTCAAAAATACTCTCCCTCCATCAATCTCTGACCGGACACCACTTCTCGATGTGATGCGCGAGAACTCGTCGACAGCATGTCCCCAAATCGGTACAACTCCTCCATCGTCCAATTCTGCACAGCCAGCTGCCACTTGAGCTCTGCCCGCAACATATGCTGGATGGCGTCCATCTGCTCTTCCATTTCTCCCAAAGCGGTGTTCATGTCTGTGGCAATGTTCTGGCGGGTGGCGACCGACATCAACCGCATACATCCAGATTCTTCTTGCAGGAACGTCGTAGGATACTGAGCCTGCTCCGCTCGTCTGGTTACGTGGAGGGGTACCAACGACTCGCTCCGCGACTCAACCTTGAAGCTCCGCGTGTCTTCGAGCTGCTTGCTGGATAAACACACTCCGTCGAAGACCGGCAACTCGGCCAATTCTGAGAGCTGACACGATATCAAATTCCAGCAACGGCTGCTAATATACATGGCTCGCCCGCTCACGCCGCTGAAAATCTCGCCCAAGAATACGCGTCTTGATTTTGTTTCACCCGTAGTATTCTGAAATAGCCTGGATGCTCTCGACTCCTGCCTGTTTCTGTGCTCGGCTTCTCAAGAACTGCTCGAGCGTCAGACGCACATAAATAGACGGTGGGGCGAAGCCACGCACCGTGCCCACGGCAATGGATATCGCCCCCGCGCCAGTCTCGGCGCAGACAGCCGCATGCGTTAGACCCGAGACAAGAATCAGATTCGTGATGACGCCTGCTGCTTGGAGAGCCCTCGCAGCATTGATTCCGGCTTCTGTTGCCGGGATCTGAAAGCAGTCAGGGAGCAGGGAGCAGGGGCAAATGGCGGCTGTACGAACGCTGATGATGACCTGTGTTTCTCTCACGCCGAGCCGACGAAAGCGGTTTACTATCCGCCAGGCGTTGGCAACCATCTCTGGCGCATTGTTTTTCAGACGCGGATCCACGAATGTCATATGAGTCCCTCCAGATCGCTGGATTTGGGCCATCCCTAGCTCGACGATCTAGGCCAGAAGCGTCAACTCCATTTGTGGTTATTCGAAGCTGCACTAACTAATCGGTCCATAGCGCTTTGCAAAAGAGTCTTTCCCCTAGTTCGGCTGCTATCATGTCGCGGAGATCGGCGAGACCAGGAACTCGAACGGACCTCTGGACCGCTGCCTTGGCTGCCACCCACAAATGATACTGGCCCTCCTCGGTCTGCAGCACATTCCACACGTTCCCGGGATTGATCGCCGACCCTTTGAGAACGTCGCACTCGCATGATAGAGCTCCATATGACCCTGCGTCAACAACCGGCTCATATCAAGAAGGCTATTTACTCACTGGGGAAATCAAAAGTCTCACCAATCAGCACGGTGCCAGCCTGCTCGAGCATAGTCCGGATCGGCCGGCCTCCATCAGACACCCGCTCTTTGGCACTTTTTAGCCCAGGAAGTTTGTGTCGGATGTTCCCTTTATCCCCGTATTCGTGATGGCGCTTTGCGGCGGCGGTCGGTAGAGCCGATCGAGCGACGGAGATGCTGGTCCGTCGAAGCCCACCCTGTTTCCGGGCAATCGCGGGCTCGAAGCCACCGTTACCGGTTGTCGACAGAGCCTCGGCACCACACCCGTCTCGGATCTGGAACATGGGGATCGCCAATTTCGATGCGAAGATTCAGACTGCGTCTCGCTGATGGTGCGAAGCAGCGGCGACCTCGAAGGAGAGGGCTGTCACGATATATCTGGAAGAGAAGTTTATACAGTGAGCGTTCGTGGATGTACACCGAGTTTGCGCTTCATAACAGAATTCTGAACAAAGAACTTTCTTGCGCCACTAAAGCTGCGGACAAACACGCTCTTGCTTCCGCGGGGATTGATGGAATGTTTCTTTGTCCGTCGGACAAAGCGCCATTGAGATCCTGGACCGGAGGCCCGTGCGCCCGACAGGCAGCAGCACAGCATCCGAGGGCGGCTCGGTGACCGAGCGTGGGTGCCGTCACTTGGGTGCACGAGGTCACGTAAGATCGGCGACCTCACATCTCTGATGCCGACATCTTCTCTGTTCAGCTCAATTGAGGGTATCGGCAACGATCTATATGCTCGAGCGGGCGCACGACACTGTAGTTGGGAGTATATACTTCATAAAATCAGATAAGTACAGTACTGTATGCAGACGGGATAGCAGATGGAAAGCGATGGGATGGCGAGCGGGCAGGGAGGATCGGGTCTACCGATGCAGCTGAGTGCGCTCGGGATGGTAGTGCCATGATGACCCGTTTCCATCGCGTGATCGGGAAGCGTTTGTGCGAAGGACGGCAGGCTCCCACTGAAGTGACCCGAATGGTGACTCGGAGGCTAGAGCGCGTAAGCAAGGGGATCGTCGAAAACATAGCACCCTTCACACACCGGATAATCGTCCTCCGCTTTCACGGACACATATCCTGCACCCCCGGTCCCGTTCGCCGACGGATAACTCGTTAGTGTGTGGGGCGGAGGTCTATGGGCGACAGGCGAGTTGGCCGTCGGGTGCATGGTTGCGGGCTGAAAAAGAAAACAAGGTCACTAGGATCCACAGCCCATGCGCGACAGCATACGCTTAAGGAAAGATACTCGCCGAAAACGGAGGACTGGACGTCGAACTCGACCCAGACGGTGTGTGTGGCATTTGAAATGCTGGGGGTGGCCCTCCAAGTCCGTAAAGGGGAGGAGGGGCAGAAGCCGGACCATGGTTTGTCGGCCCATGGTGAAAGTGATGGGGGATGGAGAGAGGTGGAGGACGAGAGTGGGGATCGGGGGTATGAGAGGAGCTGCTCGGACTGTGTCGAGAAAGTCCGATCGACGGCGGGGAGTGCGAGTGCGCGCGCGAGTGGGTGCCATACGAATTAAGGATATAGTCGTCGACGTTGCTAGTTTCCATTTTACGCCGCTTGTAGTCGCGATCGCACGCGTTCCGCGAGTCGTTGAATGAGCCTAGAGGAGACGCGCGCCTAGCCCCAAGTTCCATCGAGATTGGACGTCCCCCGTTGGCCTCCTGGAGCATCCGATGGAGCGCCTCATTTTCCTTCAGAAGCCGATCATTCTCTTGCTCGAGGTCACGAATCCGGGCAAGGGGTGGGGGTATGGCAGTCAGTTGGTCTCCAGAGGCGCCAAGCGCGGTCTGGAGCTTCGTAACGGTCTGCTCGAGCTAAAGGACGCGTCAGAACACAGCGAACGCGAGGCCGACGACGGTGGCCACACACCTGCTCGATGTACGCCTTTCGTTTTGCTCGATGTCTCGCTTGAGCCTTAGCGTTACGGCTGCGCTCGGGACGCTCTGCAGATCCGGTTAAAGACGACATCAGCGTAACGTAAGTCGAGGGGAGTTGTGGGATCAAGAGGATGGACGAGGAGAGGAAGTGCCGTATTATACGGTGGGACGCGGGGATTTCTTTTCTGTTGTGGTGTTGTTGTGTCCCTACTTTATGTCGTCGCTTCCATCACGCGACAGACCTGTGAAACTGGCAAATATTCCACACCTTTCGGAGCTCCTCGCGAAATGACAAAATCTGCGCGAATGTTGCTGCTCTAGACTTTTCATCTAAGCTAGTTTGAGAGCTCCTGTGCGCCCTGAGGACAATCCATCCCCAGGATAATTACAAGCTTTAGGCAAGAATGTTTTCTTTGCCGCTCGCCGGCGGTTGCTAGCGGCTACTTGCTGGGGTCATCAATATGGGCGGCGGAGGCAATTCACTTCGTGATGCCCGATCACTGTGGATGCCTATTTGCCACAATCGTTTGGCAGTTCAGGCTTTGGCCCGTTTGGCAGAAACCATCTCTAACCCATCTCCTTGTTCCTGATAATCCGAAAGGACTAGTGGCGTCCCACTCCCAGTCTCTCCGTTACAATGTACCGAGGGCCCGTGGAGGCTCACTACGCCCGCTTTCTCTCAAACTTTCGATCGACGCCCCCCCATCTCTCTCCAACGGTTCTCCCAGCCACATTAATCTCTTTTCTCCGCGCCTCGTCATCAGTATCCACCAATTACGGCAAGACCCTATCAATCCCGCCCCTGCGCCAGGCCTCTGGCAGTATCCCGCCGCGCCGCTGAGTCTGAATTGCGAGATCCCAACAATCAAGGACTCGGCAAGACAAACGGAAGCTAACGGAAGCTTTTTTAAGCGGGCCCGATCTCGATCGTCCATTTTGAGGGTGCCCACCGAGACTTTCGGGCCAGTGTTCGCCCAATATGGGTTGTTGCCTGAAATACACTTCCAGTCAGCGAAGAAAGTCTGAATTCGACTCTCAATCTGATAATCGCGCGTGCTGGATCCCAGCTACGAGGGAGCCATTAATTTCCTCGCACGTCGGATTCGGGCTCAGCCGGGCACAGGGTGGCTATCCTGTTCTTGTCCTGCATCTGCATATGCATGATTTGTGACAGATGATCATGCGCGCGTTTAGCTTCTGAATGCGGGCGTCAAGAGAACAAGGACCCGTCCGGACAAGGCGTAGGCGTGCGCTGCACAATGTCCGTTGTAAGCGATTGAATACTTCTTGGTAGAAAAGGGTCGAGCATGCTACTTCCACTGCTACCGAGTTCACCGACGCGTCGCGCCTATAGTATAATCTTCGTTCCAAGCCTCAAGGCTGGTCGCCGACTCCCGGAAAAATCCGGACCCCTCAAAATCCTACCTGCTTGGCTGGCACGCCACAGAGAATGAACGCTCCAATGTTGATTTGAACGGAAATCCGCGCGTTGCCCGGGACTCCACACGGACAACGAGGACAAAATACAGATGAATGATAGATTTGCAACACAGTCCGATGTCCGGAGAATTCTGCCCGCGGGCTCATTCGTCGACGTCGTCGTCGTCTGAGATAGCAACAGTTCGCCTTGGTCTTCGCCGAGGGCCCGCCGAGTCCGAGTCTGGATCTGCTGCATCGAGTGCAGCAGATCCGCTATCGTGCTGGCTGTCTTCGTCGACATCCATCGTGGAATCGACAGGGAGCTCATCGGCTTTGGCTTTGAAGATGGGTTTCGGTTTGGGACGGGGACGAGTCTGAGCTACTGGCTGGGACTCGAAGACGTCATCGGCCTCCTCGTCAGGCCGCTTTTTCTTTCGCTTGGAACCCTCCAGCCCATCTTTCTTGCGACGTTTCTTGGTGCCAGTCTTCTGCATGGGTGCCTCCATCCCTGTTTTCTCGATCTGCAACAAGATTCGCTCTCGCATGACCTTCTCCTTCTCCAAAAATGCATCGATATCGCCGTACTCTTCGTCGCTGTCCTCAATGAATTGGGCGGATTTGTACTCTTGCTGTTGTCTCTCTTTCCGGGTATTTTCGCTGCGATCCTTCGTTCTTGCTTTCCTCCCCTTCTTCTTCTTGGAGTTCTTCTTGTCGTCAAATTCACCTTGACCTCCGGAGCTTTCCGAGCCCGATTCCGAAGCAGACGGTGACGGTGACCGCCGCCGCCTTTGGCTCGTCTTGGTCATGAGCTCGCTCGCCTTCTTCCCTTGAAGGTTGATTGGCGTCTCCAAAAACTGCTCGATAACCTTTTTCATCCTCTCCAGCTCAGCTGGCGGCACCTCCTTGGGCATGGTCCACTCCCATTCCGTGACATCCGGACCTGTGCGAGCTTAGCTTAGCACGGAGAATCCACCGAATGTGCCTTACCTGACTCCGTCGCGACGAATTTGACGAGACGCATCAAAAGCTGTAGTCGAGGGTTGGTCGAAAAAGCTTCAGCCATCTCGTTGAGTGGAAACGGGACCTCTGCGTGCAATCAGATCTGGCGGAAGCAAGCACACTGCGGTATTCACGTACGAAAGTCCACCATTGCCGCTTGCACTTCAGGCCGCACATCGAGACCTCGTTCCATATGCCCTGTCCGAACTTTCTGCTCGTCATCCGATTCCGAGTCCGCCGTACCAGTTGCGTTTTTGTCTACTTCTTCGGCAACTTTCCTCCACTTGAGGACTACCGTTGCCAGCGCCTGTCAGATAGATACAGCCCGCGCACTCACACAGGGAATGGTCAGCGCACCGTGATCACCCATTCGATTTGGCCCACTTCTCCAGACTCGACAAGAGCCGCGATGGCGATCCCGACTTGCTCACTCCAAGAGTAGCCTTTCTTCACCTTGATCTCCGTTGTTACGATCGTGCGCGTCTGCTCTCGTTCACCCTTGGTAGGGGGCTCCCAGCTCGAAAACGACTTCCATTGTCCCCGATTCTTCGGGAAGAATGCCTGGAAACGAATCAGACACAACGCCAAATAAGCGGGATGACCTCAGCACACCTCGACGGCAAGGAAAGAGTCCTCCGCGAGTGCTTTGAAGAATCGCCGGAGCACGAACGTCACCAGCGAGACCAAGTCACGGTGGGGCTGGTCTCGAGGAAGCGCCTTCTGTTCGCCGAGGATCTTTTGGAAAAGATACAGCGTGGACACCTGTTGCGCATTAGTTTCGGAAGTGGGGATCAGAAGGAACATGCATTGAAGAAGAGGCCCTCAGCTTTGGCGCGGACGGCTACCCGATGGAGTAAGCTCACGACCCTTCGCAACGCATCAGACTCCAGGTCCTTGAAACGGCCAAGCTGTAGCAGGAGGGCACGAGTGATTTCCGCGTTGGCGAATCTCTGATAAGAACTGTCAGCCAAAAATCACAGGAGGTGGGGCGGCGGACCATCTCGAAAGAATCCAAGGAGAACGTCTGCTCTTGTTCTTCCTTAGCGCGCCTCCGCTCTTCTTCTTCCGCGTATTGCGTCTCGTCCTCCGCATTTCCCTTTTTGGCACTCGATTTTGCTTTGCGAACATAGACTGAGTCACCCGTACTAGCTTGACGTTCAAGCATTCGCACAAGTGAATATGCAAAATGCACAGCAGCGTCCAGAAACGCGGGTCCCCGACCCGCTGCTTTCGCGGTCGTACATGCCCGCAAACAATCCATGGCTAGATCGAGCGGTGCTCCGGCGTAGATCAGCTGCATGGTGAGAGTCTGGGCCGCATCTGCATCGCTTTCAGTCGCGCCCGATGTCGGACTAGCGATTGCATCAAGAACCGAGAGAATTTGTGTCAAACAACCCATTCCCGCAAACATTGCCGGCCATCCAACAGGCTGGCGCGAGATGAGATGATCGCCCAAAGAAAGAGGGGGAGAAAAGCCAAGCGGACCTTTTCCTCTGACGCTTCGCGCATTCTCTTGAGTACCCAAGATACAAATCCACTTTCGACAGCGGCGCCAACGAGCCCGAAATCTCGCTTCTTGACTTTGGTGTCCAGCAAAAAGAAACAGGTCGTCCATCGAACGACAGCCAGGGTCCATATCCCAATCCGATCGCCCGTTGCCCATGACCGCTCCATCTTGATATCTCTCAAAAGCGCCGTCAGAAACGCATTGAAAACTCCCTCGCTGAGGAAGTCCCGTGCACTGCCACGCAGGACGGATAGCGCCTCTATCGTCAAGTCATCGGCATAGATGGCGTCCGCAGATTCGACAGCACGGACACGGACCCGTTTCTTGTTGGCATCGAGGAGAAATGGAACGGGGGCGGTCGTATGCACGACTGCCTGAGTAGTGGCTTTTGGGTTGGCAGACACGACGATGGACGTTCCGAATCGCGAGTGTCTGCTAGTAGGGACAGGCGCCGCACGAGCTTCGGCAGCAAGAAGACGTTCCAGCGCCGGTTTCGGTTGGTCTATGAGTGACATCGGTGGTGTGCCACGGAAGAGTAGGAATAAGATCTCAAGAATTAGCGTGTTCCAGCTACCAAGTAGAGGATCCTTCTCGGAGTTGGAAGCGGCGGTGAGGATGAGTTCAAAGAGGTGATTATCGCGGAGAGTGGTCAGCAGCCGGGACTGAAGCCCATCCCGGTCTCGGATGGCTGCGAGGTTGCGCACAATGTACAGCACCAGAGCGGCGACCTGATTGTCCCGCAGCGAGCGCTCCTTCGGTATCTTCGCGAGTGGCGGAAGTATGATAGCAAACAGCGCCTGAATGACCGCTGGCTGCAGAACAGCGGCTTTGTAGCTGCGATGCGCCGCGTGAAGCTGTGTAAAGTCCGCACGCTCGCCAGAATCCAGCTCGGCCAGCTCCTCACTCATGTCGATGGGCCATGTCATCGCAGAGATCAAATCCGCACACGCAATCGCCCTCTTGTCCTCGACCTGTCCCGCACCAGCCGTCATGAGGAGAATAGGGATCAGGTCCTTGCTCAAGACGCGTTTTTCCCAGAAGATGCGCGCGACCGTGCGCTCGTCATCCGTGTCATCCTTCCTCCAGAGCTTCTTCAGATCCTTCAGACATCCCGACACCTCGTCTCCCATTCGGTACACTCCCGCTTCGTAGCCACCAAGCGCGTCGACAACGCGCCCAATTACAGGCTCGAACAGTATCCGTCGCGGGTTCAAGGGCCGGTGCGTGATCGGGTCGCGATGAACATCCTCCGCTTCATCGTCGCTGCTGTAATCCGACATGGTGGGCAGTGACGAGATAGACGCGTCGAAACTTGTCCGCCCAGTGTGGTTGAGCTTGGTCCCCCGGCAATCAGATCGAAGACAAGGACGCGATCACGTGTTACGTAGAGATCCAGGAGTATTGCGAGACACTCAACGCGATAGAAATGGCAAATGAATGGTAATCACATACGTGAAAAAAATCATTCTGGTCGAATTCCAAGATTCTCCAATGTATGTCAAGAACGTGTAGAATATAACATCAAACCTCTCGGAGATGTGGTTGTGACTGAAGTCATCCAATTCTAGATACTAGTTCGAGTTAAAATCGGACCTTTCAAGCATCATATGCCCATCTCATGGATTTGAAGTGGGTCAATATGACACAGATCTCATGCTGAGGCACGAAGACCAGACTGGCAGCTACGTCACCTGATTTGCACATGACCTCACGTGCAAGGTCGCGCTCTGCGGGTGCAATGAGCCCAATGACGACTTTCTTGTTGCTCGCGTAACGGCAAAGGTCACGTGCAAACGTTCCGGTATGACGTGTTCGAGGATACAGCGAGCCAAGTCGTAAATTCAACTCCAAGTAGCCGCCCTGAGTGCATGTTGCAACCTAATCGACACATTTCTTATCCATTGCTGATTCGTTGTCATCAAATTTGTACAGCGCCCGCAACCGGACGTCCTTCCTCTGTAAAACCCATCGCTTGACAAAGTACGGCAGCGCTTCACGCAGTTGGTAGCTCGCATGAGCACTGGTTGGCACGCTGAAGACGTAGTCAAGCTCTTCGAGCGTCCGCTGCTTTGTTTCGGGAACAAGGAGGAATATCATCACAAACGCGATGATGTTACAGCCTGAAACGGATGGTTGATTCAGCCTTTCGCTCTTTGAGTCAAGACGCAGGAAGAGGTACCAGCGTAGAAACCAAAGGCACCGATACTCCCGGTGGCGCCTTTCAGACGGGGGAAGGAGACGGAGAGGACAGAGCTCCAGAACGTTCCCGTCGCCACGGCCCTGGCTGTGAATAAGCGGCTTGCGCGAGGCAGGATGTGGATCACCAGAAAGCGCACCAACTCATGCCCATTTCTCGGTGAGTCAGCGGGAACACCTCAGAGGAGTACTGAGAGACCTAGTCAGATCATGATCGCAGTGGAGTTGCGGAAGCTCCTCACTGTAGAAGGCACCGGTCCTTCGCCGGGGCTGTAGAATGCAGCAAAGACGTAGATGAACAGTGCGATCAATGGCACACGCGCGTTTGAGTCTGATGGAATCAGGAAACACAATCCGGCAGCCAGAAGACTCCACGCCATGTTCGGAAAGGTGCAGAGCAGCAGATTCCGACGCCCAAACGCTGCAACAGCTGAGTGGAGTGTGCAAGGAGTGACAGTTACAACATACTGTCGATCGTCTACAGGGAGGTAAGTCCATGTGGATAATTAGCCTCGTAAATAACCAATGCTCACCCAAACAGCAGGAAAGGCAAACAGAAAGTTGATGAGACCGAAGCCCCAAGATGCCAAGAGCGCACTGAGATTATTATAACCGGCATCTCTGAAAACACTGGACGAGTAGAACGCGATTATCTGCGGGCACGCGTCATGGCAAATCACACACAGAGATTCCATCACACACATTGATACCACACATCTGCTGCGCAATCATCACAGTAAAGCTTGCGAGAGTCGCGCGTCTAATGCGTGGGACAGTGAAGAGCTCGTGAAATCGCCGGCAGTACGTCGATCTGTCGAGGGCCGCAAGTTCTTTCTGCAGCTGACAGTGGATATAGAACAGATCTCGGCATGCTTGGAGCTCCGAGTTGCGCAAACGACAAAGTGAGTTATACGCCTCGTGGTAGCGATCCTTCTTCATCAACCAGCGCGGCGATTCCGGGCATGAAAAGATGCCGATAAGCAGCGGCACGGCAGGGATGAAGGCGGAGCCCAATTGGAAGCGCCACGCAAGACGCCCCATCTGGAAGAACGCCAGATTGGCAGAGAAGCCGAGGAAGATGCCAAAAGCGGTCCACATTTGCCAGGACATGACTAACCCACCCCGGATAGATGCCGGGGTGTTCTCAGCGGAAAAGACAGGAACCGTCGTCGCCTTCAGGCCCATCCCGATGCCCATCAGGACCCGGGTGACCAGGAGTTGCAGCCAGGTCTGTGAGAAGCCGGAACCGATAACAGAGAACGTGCCTGGACAGGGGGTAAGCGGGCCAATAATGGGAAGGGGGTATTTTTGCTCACAGAAGATAGCGGAGATGAAGATGGCACCCCGACGACCGAACAAGTTGTTCAATGGGTCCGCGGTCCAACATCCGATGAGGGACGAGGCAATGTAAGGTGCAGCGTTGACGACACCGACAATCCACTGGTTCCGACTGGCCTTGACAGGATCAGGTTCGGTCGTGCTGGAGAAGTGATGCAGTCTATAGAGAGAATAGTCGGATCTGTACTACCTTATGCCAAATCTATATGAAACATCCATGAAATAGTAGACAGAAATGGACTAGATCTGCGCTCACTCTTCAGGGAAACTCAGATTGGCTGAACCGATAGTCGGTGTCAACGCCGAGAGATTCACTATAAGACTGACCTCCATTTGAGCCTGTTTGATCCCATCCTTGAACAGCAGCAGCGATCGAACAGAGGATCACTAAGACCTCTGCTCACCGAGATCGTCCACGGTAAGGAGACATACCAGTCAGATACAGCGCACGCGGTTGTCTCCATTTGTTTGTCGTCTCCAGACGGAGAACGGCGCGGTCAGCCTCGTCCAGTTGCTTCATAGTCTCAAAGTCCAAAGGATTCTGCGCGAGGAAGGCACCCTTTTGTAGCGTCGGCAGGATGTGAACCAGATCCTTTTCTCGGGCGAAAGCCTGTAGAATCTTCAATCTTCACCCCCTACCGAATAAGATAGAATGGAGTGACCTCGACTTTTTCTAGTAAAACATCCCGCGAAAGACCGTGTAATGGGTTCTGTATTCTGCACATAGTATTTCAGAACGGAACAATAGCTGAGGAACGCACGCGCACGTAGCGTATGCCCTCTCGGGTGTCCGATTCCGTTGTGCACCATTGTCGAAAATTTCCTTCTCTGGTTTGCAGTCGTGTGTGACGGGATTGGGCATGGCGTGGGCTGGGGATAAGAGGGTTCGAGCTCAAAGCTTCAAGGGCTACTTATGGATCTTGAACGTTCGAGAAGTTCCGCCTAGCGTTGCCTCACATTACCCTTCTAACTCCCATTCTGAGTCTAGTTACCTGAAGAGTTGATATCGCGACTAGGGGTGTGAACTGGATCCGGACAGTTTACTTCTCAACACTGAAGAAATGATGCTGAAGAGGAGAACAACACCAGAGTGTATTGGAAGATACAAGGCAGCGGTTCATGCTTGAGATCGTACGCGTCAGAGATGAAAGTAAAGCCAAGGTAAGCGATCTCGGAGAGATCCGATCATCTAGATAACAACGCCCCTCTGAGATATGTACAACCGAGCTGGCATGTACATACATATGCCGTGATCCATGGTTCTTTGGCATTTACGCAGCACTGCTTTGAATAGATGGCGGTGTGGCCAACCGGTCAGGAGGGTATCATCATGAGCATATATATTGAGCTATCGGAGCATAACGACGGATCTAATCTACGAGATAACGGCCATGGAGAAATCAGCGAAGAAAGCTTTCTGGTCTGAAGGCGAGGCCCAGTCTTTGGTGGCCCCACCAAAGAACGTCTGGGCCTGAATGCCGCGGATCTGGCCGGCCGCCTTGTCCCGTATGACCAAGCCCGCCACGTTGATCACGCTCTTGCCGTCGACGAACAGCTCGAGTTCGCCATCCGCTTGGCCCGGGGTGTTCAGCTTGAGGCGCTCCGCCACGGTCGTCCACGCGCCGGTCTTGAACGTGAACGCGCCGCGGGAGATCGAGTCGCCGTACGTCGGGTTGCAGTCCGAGTTCGGGATCTTGCACAATTTCTGGTTCGCAGCGAACTGCGAGCCTTCGGATGGATCGGGGAGATAGGTGTAGAGCTCCCCCGCGCCGTTGGTGCGCCACATCAGGCGCGCCGAGAAGCACGTCGGGTCCCGCCGCCCGCCCGAGCAGGACAGGGACGTCTTGGCGTCGTCGCCACCGTACAGGCCAGGCAGTTTCCCACCCTTGTTGAACTGGAATCCCTTCGGAAAGAACACGGAGTATCCCAGCGTGACTTCCTTCGCTGTGGCGAGGTTGACGTTGCTGGGACCAGCGGCATAGAACGAGAACCCGCCGCGGGGTGTCCCGCTGGGATTGAACGACCCTTTCGGGTAGACGGCCTGCATGGCGAGAGTACCATCCGGGGCGGAGACATAGTCGTGGGTGACCCCAGGCATGACGGATATGGGCCCCAGTGTCTTGTCAGAGAGGGCAAGACTGTTGGAGGCACCAGGGAACGTGGACCATTGCGAAACGGTCTTCGCGATCGGGAATAGAGCCTGCAGAGTGGGCGCCCCAGACGAGCCCGAGCCACCGCTGCCACTCGTCGGCTGGGTCGTCTTCGCCGTTGAGGTCTTGGTTGACGCAGATCCTTTGGTCGTGGTCGTGTGCGGCTTCGTGGTGGAAGTATGTTTCCTCACTTCGATCGGGTTTCCAAGCGTCGATGCGGTCAGAGAAAGAAAAATCAGTAGGGCAAGAGGGAACATTGTCGTAAAAGTCCGCAGTGGATATGAAGATGGAGAGCCGTCGAACGAAGTCTATGCACCAGGCAAGAAGATAGAAAGTCGTGGGGTCCCACTCTCCTTGTCCCCCATTATTTATACCGCCCATTCAGTAGACATTTTTTGCTTGATTCCGGGCAGCAGTGAAACGGCATGTCAGATATCGGAGTTGGTCTCTGATCACTGCAGCGGTAGTGACCGTTGCTGACGACGATGGGTTGTGGCCAGAGGTGGATGCAGTTGTCAGGAGCATGTAGACCCAAAAGTCTATGGATGCCTGCAGAAGTCCAGGCGTCCAAGAGACACGACTGGGGCTCTTGTTATTGCGTCGAATGAGAACAGGCCATTCATAGTGCGACCTCTCTTGAGTGTACAGATCTTCGGACGCGGGTGGACGGAACAGCTCTTGCGGATGCGTTGATATGGTGCTGGAACAAGAATCTGGCAGGTTCATGCATACACTCGGGTACAACGGAGTTGGGATGATGAGCGTTGAGTGGTCGAGACGCAAGCACAAGTGAGCCAGACGGATCATATATCGGCAATCACTGATAAGATTAGAGCATCTACCAGCGAGTACAACAGCAGCCGGAAACAAGAAACCAGTCACAGTACAGAAATATATTTGGCTGAATTCAGAATCCGAGGCGCAGACCACTGATCAATCGAGTCCTGCGTACCGGACGTCCGCATTCTCCTCCAGCCACGACATCCATCGCTTGAGGTATCGCCCGCCATGCGACACCGTGCCCGAGTCGCCTACCACACACAGATGCCGTTTCGCTCGCGTCATCGCCACTGCATCGAGAATGAGGAGCTTACAAACAATAGGTGCAACCAAGCTCACCGTTCAGCCGACGCTTCTCTTTGAGAAAACCCACCTCGCGCTTGTCGTTGCTCCGGACGAGGCTGATGATGACCGCTTCCTTCTCTCGGCCCTGCATGCCGTCGACAGTCCCGATCTCGATATCCAGTCCATACACCGGCCGCAAGATGGACGACAGCAACGTGACCTGGGCTTGGTAGCTGTCGGACGATCAGAGCCGCGACGAGCTTTGTCGAAGATCGACTCACGGGGAGATGACTGCAATTTGGGATGGCAAAAGACCACAGCTCGTCTATGGATAATGAGTATCTCCGGTCAGTACATTGGTGCGTCTATTTCTCACCAATTTGTCCACCCAGTTCTTGACGACGGTGGCCTCGTTTTCGTTACACCGACTGCCCTCGTCGGAATCTCCTTCCGATCGCTCAAAGTACTCGCAGCCCGCCGTATCAAATAAGACAACCGGTGCGGCCAATTCTTCGTCTCCATCTACGCCAGGGAGATCCTTCAGCAGTCTACTGGCAACAGCGGGTGATGAGGTCAGCTTCGAGGCATATAGCGTATTGGACGGGAACGCGCAGATATCTGCGTGCATTCTTCGGGAGTTGCTGATCAGTGTCCAACGTTGTCGGAAAGCACGAGAACGCACCGATACTGCACTTGGAGCATCCGCTTTACTTTTCCTCCATACATCCTTTCCAGCCGATCGAACAGGGTTGTCTCGAGCGTCCTCGGTGGTTGGAGCTCTTGTCCTTTTTTGGCCGGTTTCTCATCGCCCGAGTTCTCTGAGTCGGAACTGTCTTCCTCATCTGTCTTGACAACAGCCTTTTTCGCAGGCTTGGTCTTGGTCTTGGTCTTGGACAGCACCGTCGGCGGAAGCTGCATCGGGTCTCCAGCCAAGATCAGCTTCTTGCCCTTGAGGATCGGAACCCAGCAAACCTGTTGCACGTCAATCAGCCCGAAAAGACAAGTCGATTGCACTCACAGCTTCGAGAGCCTGCGTAGCCTCGTCGATGATCACAACGTCAAATTCGTGGTTGCGTAGTTGGCGGCCTCCCGCAGAATGACAAGTCGCCAACACGATCTAGTAAGATGAGCCACATGCAGGATAGTTACACACGAATCCTACTTGGGATTCAGAGAGCACAGATTCGACGACCCCGCCTTCACGTTGCCGATATCTGTTCAATCAACTACGTGCCATCAACGTCTAGTCCACTCACTCTTTCCGTAATGCCTTGACCTCGTCCCACATCTTCCTGCGCTCCAGGCCACGAGGCGCCTTGCCCTTGCCCTTGCCCGACAAGACGCTCAGCGCCGTCTCCAGCTCATTCTTAACGTCCTTCGCCAGGACGGCCTGCTCAGTCCGACCCGCTTTGACCTCTAGTGTGGAGTCCAAGACACCCTGGTTCGCCATCACACGGGCCGGGTGCCCGATCCTCGTCACCTTGAGTTTATCGGGCAGCGCTAGAAGACGCTCGAGGATGTTATCGACCGACAGATTCGACGCGCCGCAGATGAGGATCCGCCGCTTTGGAAGAGTGCTAGTCAGCTGGCGGATAACTTCGATGAGGGTGTGTGTTTTCCCTGTACCGGGTGGACCGTGGATACATGCGACCTCCGGCGCTTGGAGACAGAACTGGACAGCGGCTTTTTGGCTGTCGTTGAGCGTGTCGTCGAAGAAAGTGATTGCGGCGGGCGGTGGGGCTTCCGGCGATCGAGGCGTCATTGCCAGGAGGATCTGCACTAGTCGGTGCTTCTCTAGAGAAAGTTTAACGTCCTGGGGGTCGATGGATATGATGCCGGTGTATGAGGAAATTCCTACGAACTGGAGATCCCGTCGCGATTCGTTCCAGCTGATCGATCGTCTTGTCCATCCTGCTCGCAGCAGGCGTCAAGTTGAATTGCACTGGAATACGCGTGCACTCGCCTGTCGTAAGTGACATTGTTCGCAAGCTTGACGACCCTGCATCGCTCCGGTATTTCGAGTTCATGTTCATCCGCCCCACCGTCAACGGCGATCACAATCCTGGTGTCAGTAACCTGCACGAGTTCACAATCAGCGCATGGAAGAGAGTGAAACGGAGACGGACTCGATAGACCACGCCCTCAGTTTGAGGCTGACTCTCAGTTTTCTTCGCAGTCTTCTTTGCGTTAGATGTTACGTTGGTCTCGATCCGAGCGAGATCGCCGGGTCGGAAAGTGTGAGGAGGAAAGAGCGGACTCGTGTGATATGCCGTCGGCCGTTCCAATTCAACTAATCTGCAGGTCATTGATACGTATAAGTCGAAGGTAATTCAGGATCCACGCGTACGTCTTTCCACCGAGGCCGATGTTCACGTTCACCACCCCAAGTCCGGCCAAAGAAAGTCCCTTCTGCTCGAGCAGCTTGGGTCCGCAGTTAGAGAGAAGGAGGGAGCTGCGCTCGACTTCCGCAGCCCTCTCTTGAGCCAGCAACAGCCTCTGACGAGCAAAGAATTCGGCCAGTCGCGTTTCGGAAGTCATGAAATCGAGGTCCAAAATCAGGCGCGATCACATGATATGATGCAATCGCGATCCGAGGAGCTCATCCACCGGAAGCTGCTGTGATCCGCTCGCAGAAAATCCCTGCTCGCTTTACATATTGGCGGTGCTAGAGACTGAGTGCGGATGTGACTGCGGTGTTGGCCGATAAGCTCGGTAGCCTCGACCGAATCGAAGATGCGGGCCGGTCCCGATTGCGACTGTAGCGACCTGGAACGTAATGGGAGACACTGAGTGGCACACCTCACAATCCTCGTAGAGTTTGGGGAGCCTTCCCAGCAAATGCACAGCTCGGGCACCGAAGTCTCATTGCTTTGCGTTGAAAGAACAGTGACTGGAAGTCGGTGGAATCAGCCCCCCTACGACGAGCCCAGGTTTCTTTCATTCGCTCGTGACTTTTCCCAAGATCCTGCTGCTAGCTCCGGACCGCGGACGGACCGAAGCTCATTGTCACGCGCTCCGTGACCAACTTGCAAGTTGTTTCCGCTCTTCTTTGGTACGGGGCTTTTATCCGGCCTAGGATATGGACATGTATGCTGTGATATTCTTTTCGGACATGCACCCTGATCAGAAGTCGTCCGGCAGATCATTTGGAGTCTAGACCCTGCAACGATTCGGAACGTGTCCACTTCTCACCACGTCTGTTTCCCTGTCCGAGCGATTTCCCACCACTCCAGTGGGCAATCAGAAGAATCAGAGTCGTGTGTTTGTGTGACGAAAAACTATCGAAGCTTTCGGCCGCTACGAAGCCGACCCGTATTGGACTTGAATTGTGCTTCACGTTGACGATGTATGCTTCGACGTGGATGTGATTGATCCTCGAAGCACCCCCTCGGATCACCTCAAGGGATCACTCGCTCGTATGAATTCCTTCAGTTCAAACTTCGCGGTGGCATCGAGGCGACTGACGACAGCCTGGAAACGCGAAACGCCAATCTGCCCTTCTGCGGCTTCTAAGAATATGCCTGTCCCTACCTCGTCTTCCAATTTTGCTCCATTCTTCTGCTCCAAACCACCATGTCCGACCACGAAAAAGCGACGGACAGCGGGGAGCGCACAGTCGTTGAACATGCTCCTAATCCGACGATGACCTTCCCGGAGGGTGGGTTGCAAGGATGGCTGACAGTATTGGGATCGTACGTCGGCTAATGTCTACAGCCAACTTTGATCTGACCGTGCTAAGTGCCGTTATCCTGTTTTCCACCTTCGGAGTGTCTCTTTCGTTTGGAGTGCTCGAGGACCACTACACGGTCAGCATATCTTACGGCTCGTCTCGACGAAACCTGACCCCACAAAGCGACTGTTCTTGAACAACAGCTCGGCTTCCGATGTCAGCTGGATCGGTTCAATGCAGCTATTCATCGACTTTGGGTGAGCAGGCGTACTGCGCTAATGAACCTCTGCTAACGCAATGCCACCTAGCATTGGACTCCCCGCCGGTGAGGCCTGGACTGCTTCGCAAATCTGTCTTGCTCCGCTGTAACTCGCACAGGCAAACTCTTTGACGATGGACATTTCAGGCTGCTCATGGTTGCTGGAACGACCATCTACGTCTTCTGGTAGGGACTCCAGCCGAGCTCCAACGGTGTTGAACAGAACCAATTCAGCTTCTTGATGCTTTCAATCTGTCAGTCCAACCATTACTATCAAGTCTTTCTCGTTCAGGGTATCGGCATGGGTATCGGCATGGGTCTAGTTCGCACTCACAATCCTGGCTGGTACCGCAGCTGACAACCCAAAGCTATTCGTCCCTGCGGTCTCGCTTCCGTCTCACTACTTTCGGGCACGTCGTTCACTCGTCATGGGCTTGGTCTTTGCTGGTTCGTGGCTTTCACTCCTCCTCTGAATGAGCTGCAGGCCGACTGCGTGTCTAGGATCATCCCTCGGAGGAGTCGTTTTCCCCATTGTATTGAATCACCTGATCAATGGACGTGTGGGATTCGCGTGGGGCATTCGGTGATGCTCTGTGCTTCTTTGTCCTACTCACGAGTTGATTGTGCGCATCAGAACCGTGGCGCTCATCGCAGCATCATTGCTCCTTCTCGGAAATCTACTGATGAAGCCTCGGCTGCCCACAAAGAAGCATAGAGCTCCAGAAGATAACGCTGTGTTGCGCTCAATTCTCAAAGATGTCCCATATTGGATTAGTGTTGCGGGGGCTTGCCTCGTGCTCTGGGGGATCTTTTTTCCTTGTATGTACCTTGGAAGTCTGGCCGCCATTGCAGCTCACCCAAATCTACATCAGATTTCTATCTGCAGCTTTACGCTGTGCTCCATGGGGTCAACAAAGATGCAGCATTCTACACGGTGCATTGGGGTCCCATCAGACGCCTGTACCCTACTGACGAGTGATCCAGATCACGATGCTGAATGCAGCATCCGTCCTCGGTCGCATCGTCCCTAATTTCATCGCGGACCGCTATGGAGCATTGAACGGTAAGTATGTATCTGTCCATTCTAGACTCGAAATTAACGCCCCACAGTGGCGATTCCGATGACCACCGTCTCCGGCGTGCTCGTTTTCGCCATGTTGAGACTGACTAGTGTGCCCAGCTTGTTCATCTTTGCGGCGTTTTACGGCTGTAAGTTGCTCTTTCCCCGTCGCATCAGACGTCACTAACCCTGCTCAGTTTTCTCTGGCGCATGTAAGCCCAAACCCTTCACGTTTGCTCCGAGAAATCTAACCCCCAATCGAGTCATGTCGCTTTTAGCTGCTATCATGTCTTCCTTTGCATTTTCGGTCAACGAGATTGGGTAAGATGGCTCCGTTCCTCATCTGCCAGTCCCAGTCAGTGACTCCTTGCAGATCGAGGATTGGCATTGCCATGGCTGTACAGTCACTTCCGCTGCTGACGGGGGCCCCAATAACTGGCGCGTTCCTTCAGCCCCCCAAATACACGTGGTGGCGCGGAGTGACATTCAGTGGGGTGGGTTGGTTGATGCATACGATCGGCCCTCGGACTAAGCTCGTTAAAGGTCGTTCAACTGAGTGGAGTCTGTCTCCTCATTTTGTCGCGGGCTTTGGTGGCAAAAAGGAAAAGAACTTGGAAAGTTTGACGAGGAAGCGAAGTAGATATATTGTTAAGAATTGCCCTCTGCAGCGGCCTCCCAAGGTTTTTTGCGCACAGTGGCGGTGGAGACGCTGGCCTCGCTCTCCTAGATGAGGGATTGAGCACAAGCGAGTCAATCGACAGCCAGCTCTTTCAAGCGCGTACATTCAATGCATCGGAAATGACTTTATTGTTCGGTATCTCGTCTTCTTTCCCCGCTTCAATCAGAGCTTGAAGTTGAGCAAATGAGAGTGTGACCGGCTGCACGTTCTCGATCCTGGACTTCTCCGCTTCCCGAGCAGCATCCACGCTCAGGTCATGACCGCGCGTCCTTGGTTGCGTTCTCAGTCATGCCGCGCCGAGGAACCCGCTGGAGCCAACCTGTTAAAATAGAACACCCTCGTGCGGAGAAGGATTTCCTCGCGGGCTTCATCCGAGGGATTGCTTTCCAACAACCCGCCAGCCAAGATGCTTGCTAGGCCGTCCTTGCTGGTCGTTTGACAGCGCACGATGCGGCGCTTTGATCTGCGCGCACCTGATACTCGGTGTCGGTGGAGAACGGATGAGCCGCATAAAGCTCCAGTGCCGTGGGCTGTTCGGTCGACATCGATGCGGGGAACAAGAGGCCGGATGATGGCCGACCAGCCAGTCGTCTCGGACACACCGACAAACAAATTCCTCACAGCACGCGACGCGTCGCCTTTGACGAGCCTGACTATGAGTGACGACGATCTCCCAGGAACTGTGCCAGGGATACGCAATCGCGATGAATGTTTGTGGTTTGCGTCGCCATTGGCAATGATACTTAAAGCGCGCTTTCGTAGTCCCCGACGACACAATACGGATCATGCTGGCCACAGACAACCACATTGGTTACATGGAACGCGATCCAATCCGAGGGCAAGATTCCATAGAAACATTCCGAGAAATCCTGCAGCTCGCAGTGAAACATGATGTTCGTTCTGAGTCCTACCATCGTGATCGCCACCAAAACAATCTGTAATGACGGCCCCAGGTCGACTTCATCCTCTTAGCGGGAGATCTTTTCCACGAGAACAAACCCTCGAGAGACTGCTTATACAAGACTATTGGCCTTCTACGCGAGTATACGATGGGGGACAAGCCCATACAGGTGGAATTGTTGAGCCACCCATACAAGGGCCAGGCGGAGGGTTTTACGTGCGCTCACATCCCCCCAACTTCGGAAATCTCATTGAATGTCTCATTAGCTTCCCCATGATCAACTATGAAGACCCTAATCTCAATGTCGGAATCCCCGTCTTTTCAATACATGGAAATCACGATGACCCACAGGGTGCCGGTGCAGTGGGTTGACCAGCTTCGACCGAGAAACAGCACTGAATTCGTTCCAGGAAGGCGCTCTCTGTGCGTTGGACATGCTCTCTGTGACCGGCCTTGTTAACTACATCGGCAAAATTGACCTCCCGGTGTCCGATGGTCAAGCGCAAACCACCGGGATCGAAGTAAACCCGGTGCTCCTACGCAAAGGCAACACGTATCTAGGGCTCTACGGAATCGGAAATGTCAAAGACCAGCGGATGCACTACGAACTGCGCAGTAACCGTGTGAAGATGTGGATGCCCAAGGACAAGCAAAAGTGGTTCAATATCATCCTGCTACATCAGAACCGGTCAGCTCAGTATTCTATCGTTTCGTGTTTGCTGAGATTGTGGCTAGAGTCAAACATGGGCCCCAAGAGTTTGTGCCAGAAGGACTGTTTGACGATTCGATTGATCTGGTCATCTGGGGTCACGAACATGATTGTCGAATAGTCCCTGAACCAGTCGCTGGCAAAGGCTACTACATTTCTCAGCCCGGATCGTCAGTCGCAACCTCTCTTGCAGATGGAGAGGCCATCGAAAAGTGAGCATAGATCGCTTGACGACCAGCTGTCGTTGACCATCTGCAGGCATGTTGCTTTACTTCAAATCCAAGGCAAAGAGTTCGAGATGACACCCATCCCTTTGCGCACGGTCCGGCCATTTCAAATAGAGAGCATCGTGCTTACCGATGTGGCTGACGAGGAGAACTTGGACCTCAAAGATACCATGGCCATCTCGAAGTATCTCAAGGGCAGGGTCGGTATTTCATCCTTGATTCTCTTCATCACTCATGAACTTCTGAAAGGTCAACGCTCTGATCGAGCGGGCAAACGAGCAGTGGGACGAGCGTAACGCCAGAGCAATGGAAGATGGAGAGCAAGAGCTTCCGAGGATGCTTCCGCTCATCCGACTGAAAGTCGACACCACTGGCGTTTCTGATATGTCCAATCCCATACGCTTCGGACAAGAGTTCCAGGGACGTCTCGCAAATCCGGCTGACGTGCTTGTATTTCACCGAGCCAAAAAAGCGGCGAGCAAGAGTAAAGTCGCTTCTGCTGTGCCCGACGGCGAAGAGCAAGAGGACGATGAGGAAGTCGGGCTGAGCACGGGGGAGAAGCTTGCCCGGGTCCGGGTGCAGACTCTGGTGAAGAAGTATTTGGAGGTGCAAGAGTTGCAGTTACTGGGAGAGATGGAGATGACGGATGCTATCGGAATGTTTGTGGAAAAGGACGACACTCATGCCATCCAGACGTATGTGGTTCAATGAGTGATGACTTGATTGTGTTGATGTGCGACAGATACGTGAGCAAAGCGTTCAAGCGCATCACGAAGAGCGCCCAGACCGCGGGAGATGATGAGTTCGACGAGGACGAACTGGATGAAATGGTAACATCTCTGTGTTTTCCCTAGGCCATACAACTCAAGCTACCCCAGCTGGCGAGTGCAAAAGCAGAACAAGACCGACTGTATGCGGAGAAGCAGCAAGAAGCAGACGATGCTTTGCGGACGAAGGTCTGCTCTTTTCACGAAGCTCCCCTCCTTTCTCGTCTATTGATCGCGCATCGAAGTCCAAAGGAAAAGCTAGGGCCAACGGTGACCAATCAGACGACTCGATGATGGGCGACGACTTGGAGATGCTGGCTGCCGGATCCGCTTTCGAAGACGATGAGCCGGAGCCTCCAAAGAAGAAGACGACGACCCGAGCCAAGGCGGCTACAGTCAAAGCTCCAGCGAAGAAGGCCCCGGCAAAGAAGGCTCCAGCGAAGAAAGCCCCTGCAAAAAGAGGAAAGAAGGCCGCTGCTAGCGACTCAGATTCGGCCGAGATCATTGACATCGACGAGATTGAGGGCTCTGATGACGATTCTGATGAACCCCCTTCTAAACCAGCCAGGAAAACGCGAGTATCTCAGAGACTGAACCCTGTATGATGGCCCCTAATTCTTGCTCCAGTGCTGCCAAGAAGGCTCCGGCCGCCAGGAAGCCCGCGGCTCAATCGCAACTCGCATTTGCCCCAGTTACAGGTCGAAATTCTCGAGCTGCAGCTTCGAAAGCCCGAAACAAAATGGCGGTCAGTGTCTGCAATCGTCTTTGAGCCGTCCTCTGACATCATCTATGTGGCCCTAGATCGAGGTGGATTCTGATTGATTTCCGTTTGCTATCTAACTCACGTATTGCTGCATCTGTAACATCTGTCGCTTTCGAAAGCATTTGCTCCGCTCGCTCGAATTGTCCCTCACCAGCGCTACATTTGAACTTGAAAGCGTTCGTTGATTATAAAGTGAGACCGCTTCAGAAGATGTTTGTGCGTGCAGATCACGTGTAAACTCTCCGCTTTGCGCCCTTTTGGCATCGACCACGTGATGTGGACGCCCATTCCTTTTCGCTGCAGTTAGTCTCGGATTCCCTCAGCACTGCACCATGGCCATCTCACTTTCCAAGGCTGAGAGCTCGTACATACGGGCAGGCCTTCTTTCGGAACCTCCGCTACGCGCTGATGGCCGTGCGTTGCACGATTTCCGGAGCATCAGCCTCGAAACGGGGATGGCGCCGCTAGCCAATGGATCTGCGCACGTCAGCATCGGGAAAAATCCCCATGACGGTGGCGGAGGGACTGAGGTCCTCGCTGCGGCCAAACTCGAAGTGGAGACGGTCGATGTCAGCCGCGATGAGGGCGTGGATGGTGGACGCATTGTGTGTACCGTGTCTTGGTGCGTCCTTTTGCGCGACTTAGCGGCATCGTTCACAACTTCTCGGAAGCCAGTTCTCCGTCTGCGTATCCGCACCTCTCATCCTCGGCACTCGATGATCTACAACACGACATGACCGCGCTTTTACACCAGGCACTCACACATCCATCCTTGCACCCCTCGAATCTCGGCATCCTCCCAGGCAAACGGTCGTGGCTCCTGAATCTTGACTGCGTTGTTTTGGCGGACTCGGGCAACGTATATGACGCTCTCTTCATGGCCAGCCGCGCTGCCCTCTGGGATTGCAAGGTGCCTCGTACGCGCGCTGTCGAATTCAAGGCGCCAGCAGGCGCAAATCCTCCACCAGCCGAAAGCGGACAGATGGCAATGGACTCGGATGCACCCGTACCTCAGAGTGGTTTTGACACACGTGCTATCGCCCGTGCTGTTGACTTTGAGTTACCCGATTATTGGGACGAGGGAGAAGTTTTGGATGGACGCGATGCATGGCCCATATGTGTTACGCTCAACATAGTCTCTGTCGGCAAGACCTACGCTCATTTCCTCGACGGACACCTGCCAGAGGAAGCCGCAACGCCGATACGTCTACTGCTCATCTTTTCGTTCACGGGCGGGTCTTCTCAACTGCATTCGATGCGGACTCTGGGCTCAGGAGAGCTAGAATCCGCGCAGATACGCGATTTGGTCGTGGTATGCACTTGTCTGATCCCGCACTCCAATTCATCTCATTTGCTTCTTAGAACGGAGAAAAACACGCTCGAACTGTATGGGATGCGTTGACCAGCAAGCTAAAGGACGAGGATCTGCGACGGGGCGAGAGAGCACGAACCAAATTTGAGAGAAGACAATAAAAGATCGCTTTCATTCCTTATTCTCTGAGACGTCGAGAGGCTCGAACAGTCAACTTCTCAAAGTGTCATGCAAGAAGGATGTGTCAGATAGTGTAGGTAGTGGTGTTACTTTTGCTAGATGCGTTCAGAAACATAAATATTATATTCAACAATTTGTCGTGCGATTCTTCATCGAGTGCAATGGTAGAAGCATGGGCCGAGCGGACGACTTGCTGGAAGAATGGTTGAGTTCATTCGAATGATAGAATGTCAGACGCCTTACCGCGACTGGTCCATCAAAAGACGACAAGCCTCCACAACTAAGGGCTCAAAGAAAGAAACACCCCAATCGTGAGCTACGTTCGGCATTCGAGAATGAAGCCAACCAATGGCAACTCGGAATGCGAGAGAGAGCTTGGCTAGGTACACTTGCTGCAGTTTTGTTTGAGCAGGACTGAGGCTTGAGTTGAAATCGGGGTCGTCGACGTCGAAGAACGACGAGAGGAATCCGAAATGGGCAAGCACCGCTAGTGTTCTCTCACAGACAACGACATTCGTGATGCTCTATCCAATGGAGTCAGGTGAAGGCAGGCCAACAGGTCAGACGCGCTCTCACCGAAGCCATATGCGATACCCGCAGGTGTGGGCACGCCATTGTGGGAAGCATGTTCATGAAAACAAGACATATCCAGTGGCACATGAGTTGATACCCGACTTCTGCCTTGTCACAATCGTTGAGCAGTTCGCCGGTCTTCGAGAAAATGAGCTTCGTCGACAAAGGTATTGCATCGACAACGGTTTCTACAAGGTGGGAGAGTTGCGGCTGGTTCCCATGGAGGTACTTGTAGAACGCCCGAGAGACGGGTTGTGAGACATTTTGACCATGACGCCGCCACCAGGTCGCAACATGAGCAGGGATCGTTGTCGACTCGAGACGAAAATAGTCCTCAGTAGCAAGCTCAGCAAGAGGTTTAAAGCATAGTCTGAGCCATTCAACGAGGGAGAACCAGCCGTGCTGCATGTAGAAGGCTCCAATGAAGGATTCGAAGAGGTCCGCAAGAGCTTTGGGAGGTGCTTCTTTCTTGCTGCTCAAAGCCCAAGAGTCAATCGCATGCTCGTTTTCCGGAGAGAGTTCGGCGTAGGTGTCGAAGCGAAGCGAGAAGGCGATGCGTCCTAGCGTGTCGTTATTTGAGATCTTCCTGATCACAAACTAGCAATTGAGACTGAGCGAAGAGCAAGCCGAAAGCAGCCGAACTTAGTACTATGAATTGTTCTTGGCACACCTTCAACTCGTCCACGATCAGCGCGCAGGCGAGGTTGAGAACGCGATCACCAACAAACTCGAGCAGATCGTTCGCGCCGCTCGATGCTCCGATTTGGTTCATGGCGTGCGAAGAGAAGAAAGGATGAAGAGCTTCCAGTGGCACATGACGAGACTGGAATTGCCCGGACTGAAGATAGGCATGGAGTGACGAAACAGGCATAGTTTGTGAACAGTGATATTAGAGTGCAGCACTTCTGCAGATACTTGATAGCCGTCGGATGGGGAGGGGAGGTCTATGATGGAAGTCAGGATATTGCATGTATGGTGCACATGACCTAGTCACTGCCACTTTGTGACAGGACCGGAATCGGGCCTTGATTTTGACCTTAAGTAAACCCTGACCCCAAATGTCCGGGCCGAGTGCCGGACTTATGTGTACACATCTTTTCTGCATTACCATCGTCCATGGCAAAAGGAAAGAAGGCTCAGAAACTCAAGAGAAGAGGGTGAAGGAGTCCTCTTCTCATAAATATAAGTCTCATAGACGTGTCCCTGAGACGCTTGCAGCTCAATTCGATGCATAGCAGTAGACACGTGATCAATCATGTGACACAACCGGAATCGACCAAGGTTTCCATCACATAACTCTGTCAGTTTTGAGTCAATGGATAATCTGTCTTAAGGTTCTATTCTACATCTAAAACTAAGCCTTTCTGTAAGACAACTAAGAAAAATCTCTTCACAAAAAAAGTTCTCACACTATACAAAAGTGGTAATGACTAGGTCATGTGCACCATAAGTGGCAGCTTAACACGATAACGTGACTCGGTCACTTCTTTGTTACATTCACTCATTGATTCGGCCGGGTCAATTTTTGCTGAGCGCATTTGGATTCTAATCGAAGCGCTTTAAGAACGAGATAGAGGAGAGCTCCGTGAGTGAGCCTTTAAGATTCCAGAGCTCTAAACCTCAAAGAACTTGGTGTACATCATTGATTCCTCCTGTGACCTCAATGGAGGGATATGTGGCTGTCCACCTGCCCATCACTACTCTCGTTGACGGCCCGTCTTGGCAGGTATTGCTGACGACGCGAGTAAGTACTTGATTACGAGGCTGCTGCATCCTTCACACTCTTCTGGATGAACACCTAGTTGCGTGTGTCAGCATCATCAAATGACCACCCCCAATCTGTACACCAAGGGCTTACGGGGATGGTTAAGCTACGCTTTTGCCAGGCAAGCAGTCTGCACTCGTTGCCCTCTTCTCGGTCATTCACATCTGCTAAAGCGAAGTCTTCGTCATCGTGTCCCTCACTCTCTTCCTTCCAATCTGTCTTGAGCAATTCGCTCGGGATAATGGCCGATTGACACCTGCACGCACCGAGCCTTGTGTTTCCGCATCTCCCGTCCCGATTGAAGCTGGTGGACGATGTGTCGTTCAGATCGGTTGGTTCTGGATCGACACTGCAAGCTTCAGGTGAGTTGTCAAATATTGCGTCCTCAAATGTCGCCCAACATATGAAAGCCTCTATGTCTACTCGTTCTCTGTGGCCATGCAAGCCCTAACGGTGATCTCAATGGGCGGTATCGCAGATCACCGTAAGCCTTCTTCATTTCCTACATGGCCTACCCTCTTATTCTCGCAAAGCTCCTCACCGCAAGATGCTCTTGTTGACTTTTGCGTTCTTCGGGTCAATTGGGGCTATCCTCTTCCTGGCACTCTCGTCCACTTCACCGTTCTGGGCCCTGTCTGCTTTATTCGCCTGTGTCGCAAATGTTGGATTTGGTGCCTCGGTTGTTGCCATGAACTCTTATCTCCCTTCCTTGGCCAAGGAGGCTCCTGAGGTCGTTAGACTGCGGCAGGAGATTGAAGATTCAACCAGGGAGGATCTGTCTGAAAATGGCACAGAGCAAGATGCGCTACTGAATCATACACCTTCAAAAGCCCTTCTATCACAATACGACGCCGAGCTCTCGAGAACAACGGCGAGGATATCTTCTCTCGGTATCGCCATTGGATATGGCTCAGGGATATGTCTATTGGCTGTGGCCATCATACCTGTCACTATGCTGCGCGGCTCGACATTCTCTTTGCGCCTTGCTATCGGGCTCAGCGGGATCTGGTGGGCAGTGTTCACTCTCCCTGCAGCCGTCTGGTTACCTGGTGCGGCCTCGGTTCCTGCAGAGTCTGCCGAGCTGGAGGATGAGCGCAAGTGGAGCTTCTGGCGAGAAATTGGTGCTGCATGGAAGCGTCTAGGCGGAATGATTCATCCCAGAGAAATCAAGCGCTTACGCAACACCTTCAAATACCTTGCTGCATGGTTTCTGTTGTCGGACGGTACGTCTTGCCGGTGCGCTGCGGTGGACGTGATTGCTCAAGCATGACAGGATTCACAACTATCACTTCGACTGCGGTCTTATTCGCTAAAACGACGCTGCACATGGAGCCTTCTAAACTGATTTTAGTAGGCGTCCTGACACCACTGTCGGGAATCGCGGGCTCCCTAGCCTGGCCCATGCTACAGCGCAAGTTGGGTTGGTCAAACCTGCGTGTGATCATCACCCTAGTGATGATGGCATCTGCTGTGCCCGTCTACGGATGTCTGGGATTCCTGAGCATCTTCCGTGGGTCGTCCTTCGGAGGTTTGACAACACCCAACGAGATGTTTGTCCTTGCTCTCTACTTCGGTAGGTTTCCTATTTTGTGACGCAGCTAGTTCTTATCCGACTTCAGGATCAATCTATGGTGCTTTCCAGAGCTTTGCGCGAGCATTCTACGCTGAACTTTTGCCGCCTGGCGAAGAGGCGCGATGGTCTGTTTGTCGTTGCTCATCTTCTTCCAGTCCTAACAATTTTCAGGTATGGTCTATTCTCTATCACAGACAAGGTATTAATCCCACTGCACTGGTGAATTCGCGCTCAAGCGCAGTCGTTCCCAGTCCAGCTCTTTCATCGGTCCTTTGATTGTTGGTCTGATATCGGACACTACCGGTAATATTCGATTTGCATTCTTCTTCCTGGTATTTATGATCTGGGCTGCTGTGCCTGTACTTATGAGCGTTGATGTCGAGCAAGGCCGGAAGGATGCTAGAGAGTACAAATACGCAACTTCGTAGGATACGAAACCAATTGTACCACGGATCAAGCAACTCGGATCAGATGATGAACACGCTATGACGTCGTAGCCTGCTACAATACATGCATCGTTGTGCGCGACCTCCATGTTGACCGGCTGCGGACGCGCACATAACGCGCTCCGTTTCGTCAACGGCTTATCTGTGCATGCTCAACGTGCCGAGAACACGAAGGGGACATGTGTCCAGGGCTACATCTATGCGACTCCGCTCATATCCCCCGTTTCATCACAGTTCAAGATGCCCAACCACGAGCTGCGCACAGTGAAATCGCACTCTAGGAATCGGCCGTCGAATCTTCCCGTACACTGGCTGTTTCGAAGTAACATCCCTCGCCGACGCACCTCTTTCCTCCCCGCGGATATACAGAAGAGGAACTTTTTCGGCATGGGAGAGATAGTCGGCGTATTGACTAACGTGTGCCAAAAATCTCAACGATATCACATGCATCTTGACGACAGTCATAGCCCGCGGAGACCGTCCGCTCACTCACCGAATCCAAGCGGCTGCTCGAGGATGCGCGTCGAGAGATTGAAGAGAACAAGGAGCGCTCACAACTACGGGTCACACACACCTTCTCGCGGTACCCAGGGTTCTTTCCACGGCGGGCTGAGATGCGTATCCTCAACCAGATTCTCGAAGGAGAGCCTGCTTTCACCGTGTTATTTGGCTCAAGCTCTGTGGGCAAGGTGAGCCTCAACTCCCGCTGTGTCACGTCGTCAATTGTATAACCGCGTTCACAGACGGCTTTGTTGCGTGAGGTTCTCTGTGGGGACAAGTACCATGTCTTGCACTTCGACTTGCGTATCGCCGGATTCGCAGATCTACCCAGCTTGTACATGAGCTTGAGCCAGCAGATGCAGCAGTACTTCGAAGAAGTGGGACAGATGCCTGGCTACGACGATTTTGAGAAAGAAGCTTGGGGATTCAAGGTATGTTGATCACAGCTTTATGGTCGGCTGATTATGATTCATGACGACTCAACTCAGCACGATCGTTTGAACGTGGAACGAAGAATGGCCGAGATGCCAGTCGGGACCGACGGACGCAATATCAGGACCAGTGATATCGCTCGCTTGATGGAATTGTTCCAAGTGCGTTTTCGTGCTGTGTTCCTCGCTTGTTTCCACATTGCTGACATGGCATGGGCAGAGTTCGTTGCTGAAGTACCGCGAGTTCGAGCCCGCAGACGAAGTCCCGGTCAAGAAGCGCGAATCCAAGACAGAAGAGAAACCACCCCGCCGGCGATTTTGGTTTCGGAAAAGCAAGGCTAACGATGTCAGGAGCATACCGTCTGAGAAGGAGCCGAGCGACAAGCCACCGGCAAAGAAGATTCCAGTGCGTGCAAAACATATTAGATATACTGGCAGACACTGATATCAGCCAGGTGATCTTTTTCGACGAGGCGCATCGCCTGTGAGTCCAAGATGGTGGGCACCACATCGAGACTCATCTCACCGATCAGACCGTCCCTCGTTCAATCAATGGAGACCATGAAGTGCCTACTGGACGCTATGCTCGTTCTTACGAAACAAGATCGGTTATGTCACGTCATCCACGCCACAAGCGACCCATTCTACCAGACTTGGCTTCGTCAGCTGAACATCATGCAGCATTGCAAGGTGTGCTTACAGTGCAAGTGTTGCATGTCTGTCTTACCGTCGCGTAGATAATCACCATTGGTGACTGCTCTAGAGCAGAGACACGCGAATACTTCAACGAGCGGATCTTGCCTAGGGTGCCGCGGCGGCTTGGTATGCGGCTGGATTTTGACCGGCTGTACGAAGCTTTTGGCGGGAAATTGGCTCACTGGCATGACTATTGCACCGATTTTAGTAAGTTCTATTGTGACTGATGTCGTCATCCCTGACAATCATGTCTCTCCCCAGTCAATTCCAATGGGACCTTGGACAGTGAGTGCGACTTGATCTCATGGTTTTTTTTAACTCAGTGCAATCCACAGTCAAACAAAGTTCTCATTTCCTACAAGCGCATGCGTTGCTCAACCTCCATCTGATCCATTCATCTCAGTCCGTCGCATCCAAGTCTACAAAGGAGGAATCTCGGATGTCGCGGGGCGCGCCCTCTGGATTCCGGATTTACTCACCCATCAGCCACCCGTACGGTCCCAACGACAGCCCGGCTTCGGGAGACTACAAGGCAGACTTCACCGCTGTGGAATTGCTTAAAGTGATCAACCACCTCGTTGAGCCGACGGTGCAGTACATCCCGTACTTTCCGCTCTGCCGCGAGCTCAGTGTCCGATCTGTGGATGGCATGGTGAAAGGGCGCGTGCTTGACCTTCGCTGGACGGAATGCGTGACGGATGAATATGCGTATGAGGAGGCCCGGACGGCTCACAATCGGCGCAACACGAGCAGCGACACTGCCGTCGACAACGACCAAGCTTCCGAAACAGGGGACAGCGATATACTTCCTGCATCTCAGTATTCGAAAGACGGACCGGAGGTCGTCGGATGCAAGCTGGTTCCTTCGCCCATCATGCGATACGCCATGCGTGAAGTGGCCCAAGAATATGATGAATCGGACCAGAAAACAATGTCGGATTACAGGTCTTTGTCGGACGTAGAAGTGGAGGAGTACTGATTGACTTGTTACGAGAGCCTATTTCCTACTTGTACCTATGTAAGTACTTCGTATTGAGGGCACATCGGAACTACATGATACTTTCGGCTCACATCGGCCGAGCGTGCTTAATCTCATACTGCCATGACCAGAATCAATCCTCCCCCACCGGTGCCGGCGCTCCAAAGCCCTGTTTGGCGTCCTGGCGATAACGCACCTGCAGTGCCCGAGTCTCCAGACACGGTGTACAGAGAAGATATCCTCGCCGCAATCGAAAGCAGCCTGAAGGGTCTGGACGGGGAATTAAGGGAACTCGGCATCGACATCCACGGTACGTGTGGATTATCCAGTCGCATTTCCGACGCGACGACTGTCTTACACTGCCTGCGCAGACCACCCCGAGCTGGGCTTCGAAGAGCACCGCACCCATGACGTATTGACCGCGTTCATGGAGCGTCATGGGTTCGAGGTGACGCGGCACTACTACCTCGAGACCGCGTGGAGAGCGGCGTTCTCCAGCGGGAAGGGCGGGCGGACTGTGGGAGTCAATTCCGAGGTACGTGAGGCTCCCTCCGTTTTCTTGAAGCCGCCACTCACACACGGCGGTGCAGATGGACGCCTTGCCTGTTAGTGCTCTGTTCAGCCTATGTCTCTCTGGTGCCGATGTGCAGAATTCAGGGCATCGGCCACGGTTGCGGGCACAACCTGATCGCGATCTCCGGCGTTGCGGTGGCGTGCGCCATCAAAGCGGTGTTTGAGCAGTTCGGGATTAACGGCACGGTCGTGCTGCTTGGGACACCAGGTCGGTCTGTTCACGTCCCGGGGTAGGGCGACGCTGAGTCGGCGCTGCAGCGGAAGAAGGAGGGAATGGGAAGGTCGCGCTCCTGGACCGCGGCGCGTGTGAGTCGTCTCCGCACTGAAACTCGTAGCGCTCCGAGCACATCTGACCCGACGTGCATCAGACAAGGATATGGCGGTGTGCTTGATGTCCGCAGCTTCTGCATATGTTCCGCGAGGAACAAATGTCTCACGCACTCGCTAGGACCCATCCTGCGCCCGGTCCGAAAGCGTCCGTCAGTCTGAGCAGCTGCCTGGCTCTGGAGCGACTTGAGGTCGAATATTTTGGTCACACGTGCGTACCGTGCGCTTTATCACGTGGGCTCGAGCCGAAATCGTGACTTTGTAGCGCGCATGCTGCGTTGTCTCCTTGGGAGGGCCGAAATGCTCTGGACGCCGCGGTGCTCGGATACAACAACATCTCTGCTCTGCGTCAGCAGCTGAAGCCGACGCACCGTGTTCATGGGATATTCGAAGGGAAAAAGTGGGCTCCCAATGGCAAGTTCTCTCGCCATATAGCGGCTGAGCATATCACTGAGTGCCCTGCAGTCATTCCAGACTATGCCAAGTTCAAGTACGGTGATCTCTGCTCCAGGAAGTGCCGAGGTTGATTGGCCAACAGCTGCTACGTCCGGGCGCCCACGTTGGCGGAGATGAAAGAGACGTTGAACCGTGTTCTCCCTTGCTTCGAGTCCGTCGCACGGATTGGATGAGGCGTGTGACGAGCTGACAGCCTCCAGAGCCGCAGCGTTGGCTTCGGGATGCACCCATAAGGTAGCGCTGACCGGAACAGCGAACGATCTGCGGCAGAACAAGGCGCTTGGTCTGTTCGCTCCTGCCGCTTGTACTGTTCTCTGTGTACTCACGAAAGCCAGGTGAGGAACTTGCACACATCATTCGCAGCAAGTACGGCAGCATCGACTACGAATGGGGCATCAAGAATGCATCGACGGATTTCGTGAGTGTCGTGGATTCTGCAATCAGGTGACTGGGCTCACTCACTATCCCAAGGGAAATATCTCATATGGTGCCGTCCGGCCTCTTCGCGATATAAGCTGACTGAATGATTCTAGCACTGCCATCGCTGCATCCTGGTTACGGTAAGATCCGTGTTTATCTTTCAGAGGTCTGATGCTCAAGCGCTCACACCCAACAGCGATTCCGACGGTTCCAGATGGGGGCAACCATACAGCGGCATTCACGAATGCCGCGGCGATCATCGAAGCCCATTACGCGTGTTTGGACGTTTCGAAGGCCCTAGCTGCTGTTGGAGTGCGAGTGGTCATCGATGACCATTTCTATGCTGAGGTGAGTCGCTGATATTGCCCATTATCGAGGTCTGGACTGATAGTCATGGGTCCAGGTGCAGAAGACATTTGAAGAGGACAAAATCGCGCGTCTGATGTAGTGGCGCGGCGTCGGACAGTGTTTGCAGTGTGTAGTTGTCGTGCCATGCGAAGTGCTTGTACGAGCTACTCCAAGCTATGGAAGCTTGGTAAATTAATGCATGGTGTGCAGCTATGTATGTATGTAAGGAATTCGAAAGCTACTCAGTCACCTGTCGGTCAACTCGGCCCACTCTCGATTCTGTTCGCTTCGAGAAGTGCCTTAGTAGGTATACAGGGTGTGCTACTTATAGCAGCAGACGAGGCATTGGAGCTCATCACTGGCAATGAAACAAGCTGTCCTCGCTCTTGTCCTACTGGCCGCCACCAGCATCGGCCTGGCAAGCCAATGCCCTCGCCAATGCACACAAAACATCACCGAAGAGATCGGCGATGGCAAGACCATGAACTTCCAGCTCGGCGTGGAATACGTCGATGACGAGGGCATCTATTTCTGCGGGTGCGTGTGATGTGCTCTCGGCATCCTCCTGTCTGAAAACAACCGGATGTTTGTAGGTACGAGGAGACGGGTGTTGACCCCAAACATGTGCACGAGGGATTCTGCAGCTATAACGTTTGTTGATCCATTCCTAGCAGGCCTGTGTTGTTGCTGACTCGATCCGACTTGCAGAAACACGGCCATCTCATGGAGAACGACGACGATCTCCACAGCTGTCCTCCATGGATCAAAAAAGAGAAGGGATGCAAGTGATCGTCGCTGGATGTTCTGGCAGTTATTACTCTACCGAACAGATGGAGACATTGTCAGTAGACGACTTGGATTATAACCCGCGATTGTTGCAAAGAAAGAAAGTTCCCATCCAGACTTGTTTGATCGGTAGATGTTGCAACCATATTGCTCGAAAGAAGGTGCCAAATCGTCAGCCACAAGCCACGGATGGTGATACAGCAAGTTGAGTGTGGGTGCGCAGGTTTCGCCACTGGCTGCGTCAGCCATGACAAGAAGTACACACAGCGAGCCCGAAGGAGATGCATATAGAAGCTGTCGACGATTGTCATGGTCACAATTAAAAACTCCAAGTGGCTGCGAAGCTGTGCCGCAACAAGACAGGAATAGATGCAGAGTACGCGTCAGTAAATCGTGTCGATCAACGCCGTCGGAGGTTTCAGCTGGTTTCAGATCCTATCTCGAGCTGCGGACACAGGTCATGACTCATGACGTTGGCCGCCCACCAACGTCACCGAGCGGCCCGAGCGCACAAGCGAGGAGGAGGCTGTGAACCATAATGCATAATGGCCATTCACGTCATTGTCAAGCACGGTCAAAGCCGGAGCACCGCCTCACGCTTGACCCTTGTCTTAAATCTTCACCTTCCACTCCGTTTCCTGCTTTACCTTCTTGTCTACTGTACACCATCTTTTCTCATGGACTCAAGAACTCCTCCCCGAGGTGTGCGCCGCACTGGGCAAACCTCCACATCTGTCTGATCACCTCCAAGGGCTACCTCGCATGACTGGATTTAGCAGAGTCTATCGAACCAACCTAAGACCTGTGGTCCTTGCTGGTGAGGTTGGAGTACATCGTTCCCGTGCCTTTAGTAACGATGCCATTAGTTGCTGGTTTGAGTGCGCTTTGGTCGCTCTTTGCGTACGTCGCCATTCATCCTTCTGTGCCCCCGTTCATTGCAGGCTGACCGACATCTGTAGTGGCGTACGTCTTACCCGCACCTTAAACTGCCGCGTCTCAACTTAAACAGATTGGCTATTTCCGCAGCATCAATACCGACAAGCAACGTGAGTTCTCTTCGACCATAAGCTTATCTGGCCTTAGATTCACAATCACACTGCAGAGGGCGTCCCGAAGCTGGGGACATTTGCCCTTATTGGGGGAGCGATCTATATGGTTTTATTTGTTATGGAGGTGCGGGCATTTCACACATGTAGCAGATTCTCTCTAAGCATTCCCAGGCTTTCGGTGTATTTGCGGCTGCGGTGGTAGGCATCCTCTGCTGACGCATCTGGATTGTGTATCTGACCGTGACCCACCCGCAGCAACGGCTGGCCCTGGCTCGGATTTACGCCCTTCTCTCCCTCGCGATTGTTGCCCTGACAGCTGGCGTTGGGATCTTCCAAATCGTGATTCACTTTACATCTAAATCGGACATCTTGAAGGAGTGCACCAGCCTCAACACCGGAGATGGTTTTGTTGTCTATCCCTTTGGCTTCTTCGGGCCATCGAGACACGACACTCTCAGTGCAGCCGATGCTGCGGATTGTGAGCTTTCTCTCTCTCTGTGAAATGTTATGTCGCTCAACAGATGCAGGGTGCAACAATGAGTACGAGCGCAATTCATGGCAGGATATTGTTTCCGTTCTGGTTCTGATCGGTGCGTGGCCCTTTGTCACGTGAAAGGTGGCGTTGGCTAATGTGCGCAGGCCTGACAAGTTTCTTCGCTATGCTCGCCTGGGGCTTCTATCACCAGCTCCAAGACCCTACCAGCGTGCTCAACTTCTCTCGGGCGCCCTCAAACCAGGTCCGGGTCAACTTCCCCACGCATTACAACCCGCCGTACAACGCATCAGTCCCTAATCTCGGATATTCGTACAACCCTGGTCAGGCAACTTATGCGCCTCCTCCTGGACCGCCCCCTCCTCCGGCAATTCCTACCGATACCAAGCCCCCGGGGTACCTGGAGGCAGGTGACAGTAAGGAGAATCCCTTTGCCGATTTTGATGAGGTGGAACACGACGTGACCAGTCGGCCGGCCCCTGGTGGACGAGACAAGTTCCAAGTATAACTTTGATCACGATGTGGATGGACCAATTCAGTTGTATTATGCTACTCTGATGTATTGTATGCTACATTTACATACCTACTCACGAACTTGTTCATGGATGTTTCATCAGTTCGTGAGAATTATTTCGGAGAGGAGCTGCGCGAATTTCCCAAAATGGCAAGGCGCGTCGCTGGCATTACCCTTTCCTTCAGACCATCACCGGCCGCTCTTTCGTTTTATCGTACTAAAATGCCTCCATCGTCACCGCCGTCGACGGCAGCCTCGAAGATGCAAGTGGTACGCCCGCTCGAGTTCCAAGTCGCGTCGATGTGAACATGTTCTGGGTAGGCTGGGGTAGTCAGTTTCTATCTCGTCGCAGCCCTCGCGGTATGTGTACTACTCCGTCGTTTGTCCAGTCATCATTCTAACGTTCCTAGATGGTCATGGCGTGCGTATGAATGTCTCAATCCAAACCGCTTTCCTCACCCGTGTGCATATCCGCAGCAACAAATGGGTGCTGAACGAAACACCAGCCCCGCTGTTCTTCCTGGCGACCCAGATGTCTATCGCGGTCGTCCTTTTCCTCATCACAGACTCGCTGCGCATGCTTCCGGACCGACTGGTGTTCGAGACGAAGCACTGCAAAGGGCTCGTCGCCATGGTCGGCTTGAACGTTATCGGACTGAGGTGCGTGTCTCGACGCAAAGCGGCCCTGCTCGCTCGCCCCTTGGCACCGACTCACCCCGCTCCTCGGCTCCTAGCTTCAGCAATTATACTTTGAAATACGTCGACGCGTCTTTCTACCAAGTCGCGCGCGGCCTGGTTCTGCCGTTCACCGTCTGTGTTTCCGGCGTCGTGCTGCACACGCGGCCCTCGCTCCGCATCCTTGCCTCGTGCGCTATCGTGACTGCCGGGTTCTTCTGTGGTGTCCTGCTTGACGGGACGTCCGTGTCCATGATCGGTATCGGGTTCGGCGTCGCTAGTTCGACAATCACGGCGACGCACTCGGTTGTGATCAAGCAGAGCCTCAAGCTCGTCAACGACAGCACTATCTTGCTTTCGTGGTACACGAACCTTCTCAGTGTGTTCGTTATGGCCCCTATCATTGTCCTCGTGGAAGGGAGCAGAGTGATGAAGCTGCTGTTCGAGCCCCAGGCTCCGTCTACCGTCGGCGGCATGACCCCCTTGAGGACATTCGTCATTGGATCTCTCTTGACCGTGGGTTCGCTCTTTTCGTAAGACGCGCAGTCTGATTGATCGTTTACTACGCAGGGCACCGTCGGCTTCATGATGAGTCTCGCCAGTCTGTTATCAATCAAGGTCACTTCGCCGATCACGCATATGGTTTCCTCTGCCGTGCGCGGCGTCGCTGCGTCCCTTCTCGGTGTCTGGCTTTTCCACGACATCATCACGACGTGCGTATTTACCCTGCTTTCTCTGCCGTCGAGCGTCGCTGATGACAGTGTCTGTGCGCAGCGGGCGAGCTACATCCATCGCCACGATTCTCGGGGGATCGCTTTTGTACACGTGGTTCAAGCACCAGGAAACGGAGGCTGCGAAACAGGGCTACGACCGCGTCCCTATGTCGGATCTGGAGAGCGGGAAGGGTGGCGGGAAACAGCCACCGGAGTAAACTAGACAGACGTTGGTTCTGGACGTTGTGTTACTGTTATCGCTGGCTTTTATGTAGAAAATACTGGCACCGGACGCATGCCATCTAATCCATGTTCGTACTTAGACTTGTTGTACTGGGCATACCGAGCGGCTGCGCCGGCAGGATCTCAGCAAACCTCGTTATAATGGAGAATCAGCAGTCGGTTCGTTCGTTCCATTAGATTCGCATAAGCCTTTCAGGTTTATCGGACAGACAAATTCATAGACGACCACGGTTTATAGGAACATCGATCGCAACAAGTACAGATTGGGAGATTGAGACCACAAGAATGAATCACTCCATATCTTGAACATCGAATAGGTTTGAGCTGGTTCGACTGCGAATCGAGGTGGAGGGGCTTGGAAGAGATAAAGTAAGATGTGTGGGTCCCGGTGACTTGGAGAGCTCGATTCACCTGTTCTCCAGCGGAGTTGGCGCCAGCCTCGCCAGTCCACCGCGTCCAGCCGAAGGCTGATATTCGCCTTGCGCTGCAGGCGCCATGGCCGACTGGGACAGCATTCTCATCGGCAGTCCTTGGGAATGAGTTACCTCGGCCGGCATGGCTGCCGCTTGGCCTCCAGGACTAAGGTATCTGAGCGGAATCAGTCATTGACAGCGCCGTAGAGATCTAACGATTAGGCACCCTTGAAGACCGGGAGCATACCCGGGAGTTGGTGTCTGCCGTAGGTTTCCGGAGCTACCGGGGATCGCGATACTAAAAAACTGGTCAAAAGAACGGATCTGGATATAGAAGACTGAATCATCACTTGGCGCTCTGCCTGCTTTCGCGGTGGAATTTCAATGTCAGGGACTCCAACTATTGGATCTGTGAGTAGACTGAGTGACTGCGACGAAAACGAACAGACTTGATATTGATTCCAGAGCACGAGGAGCCGTTGACTGACAGGCTGAGCCGGCGATTGTGTCCGTCTATTCATGAGGTTGTAGAATATGTTTTTGTAGGGTCCCGGTTCCCATTTGTGAACCCTATTCAGTAAGCTATAAAACATCGAGTTGCATGGTTAGCAAAAGTGCAATCAGGCAAATCTTGGTCAGAAGAAACGCTCACTGGCTAAGCCTCTCGGCGACCTTGGCTTTCAGTGCGGCATCTTCTTCACGGTCCAGCTGAGCCATTCGAGCCTCAATCTCGTCGATCTGCTTCTGATAATCGTCTGCAGGGAGGTAGAAATGCTCCATCGCACTCGAGAGAGGAGGATTGAAGGGTGGGTGGGTCCGTGTGTATTCTTTTATCCCACACTGCACTGAGATCAGTCACAGTGTGCGCAGGCCTCATGTTCAGCGGCTCCGTTTCAATATCGAGTCAGAGATAACATCACAGGCACTCTCTGACCGCGCATACCAATGAGTGTGGGAGAACCTAGAGCCAGAGAGGGCAGCAGACAAAAAATGATTCGACTAGATTGATCAATCTGAACCCGATCTCATCTGTACTAGCTCAATCACGGCCCGTGAGGAATGGCGCAAGCGGAAAACGAAGGATGTCCGCGGGCCGGGAAGTTATATTACAAGTTGAATGATCACACAGCCACTGATATCAATCATTTGGTCTTCCCCACGGCACCACAAGTATTTAGCAACTACTTTCTCTTCTCCGCATGGAAGCGCCGGTCGAATCTTCTTATCTTAAGCTGCTCTGGGATGAGGAGCAGGTCTGGGTCGCCCATCAGCCGTTCCTAGTAGCCCATGGCTATCAGTTGCGCCCGCGATATCGCCCAGATTGGACGCCGTCCTGGCCGGCGGACGGGACACCTGACTTTCGTTTTCACGAAGACGGGCTGGAGAATGTCAAGGCATGAATATGAAAATCGATTTAATTTGATTAGCTGCTAAGGAAGGTCTAGCCAAGCACTCTCGATGCGGTTCGGCTCAGCGATGGCCAGAAGGTCGTTCTGAAAAGGGTCGAGACAAATGGCAACGAACTGGCTATGATACGCTACCTTGACTCGCTTAGACATGACCCACGCAATCGTACGGTGCCTGTCCTCGAGATCTTGACAATGGAGGATGCACCTTGGTCTTTTATTGTCATGCAGTACGCGCGCATATTCATCTATCCGCCCTTTCACTGTCGGCAAGAGTTCTTCGAGGCGATGAGGCAGTACTTTGAGGTATTCTTCCAGCTCTGTCCCACATCGCTTGCTCGAACTCTCTTTTCGCAGGGCTTGGAGTTCATGCACGAGCATAATGTCGTCCACTTGTGAGTACAGCCTGGAACTGGGGCTGCCAACTGATGTCTCTCATAATCTCAGTGACATTGCTATACAAAACATGACGATGGAGGAATCCCTCATCGTTCCCCGAGGATCACACTTCTGGGATCAACGCACGCATACTGGAAACTACGGGTGGTTTCGATGGCGAGATCGGTGCTCCGTGACGGAGCCCATAAACTATTACTACATCGACTTCGGTCTCTCTTTATACTTCCCAGATGGAACAGCCACCGCACAACACACAGCCTTACTCAGAACGTTCCCCGATTGTCCTGAGCTCTCGCTAACGAAGCCCTATAACCCATTCCGGGTGGATGTGTACCAGCTGGGATTGGCCATGCGGAAAGCTATCAAGGTGAGCCGCTACTCATGCGAAGGTTGGATTGATGCTGAGGTAGACGAGGATTATCCGGACCTCCAAGCCTTCCGACCGTTAGCGGATGAGATGATGAAGGAGGACCCCGAATCTCGCCCCAGTCCTTCGGAAGCTCTAGCGAGCTTGCATAAGATCGCAGAATCGATTCCGCCGGCAGAGTTCCGAGCGCGAATATGGAAGAGAAAGACCAGCATTTGGAAGAAGCTTTGTCGCTGGATTTTCGGAGGGTATTACAGGGATTATGCCTTTTTGGAGGACGATTTTGCTTTGTATGGTAAATATTAGGAATATGTACGAGAACGCTGCTTTTCTCGACTGAGGCACTTCTCAGCCAGGATCATGATGTGTAATGGGCAGTGCAGTTTATGGTCCAGGCTCATCGCTTGAAATCCGCAAGGCTCGCTTTGGCCCGTCTTTGGCCCGTGCAATGTGATCAACATGACGAACTCGCTCTCGTACTCGGAGACTCGGACTTATAACCTGTCGAGGGGTTGATCCACCAAGACCCACCACTGTCGCGTAACACGCGACGCTACATAGTATCGATAGCGGAGCGGGAGGGGTGATGAAGAGCAGCCACCGGAGTAAAGTAGACCGCCGTTGGTCCTCGACGTTGTGTGACTGTAATCATGGCCAGAAAATATTGGGCAGATTGAGCAGCTGTGCTGTCAGGAGCTTGACAAACATCTTTGTTATGGGTATCGGCAGGCGAAGTTAATTTGCATACAACTCGAAGCATTCAAGTATATCGAACAGACCATCTGTTAAAGAACTATGGTTTAAAAAAGAGAGATTGTTACAAGTTCAGACTACGAGACAAAGAACAAAGGAAATATTTACTCCAAGTCTTGAATTCTGAACAGGTTTGAACTGGTTTGGCTGCGAAGCGAGTTGGAGGGGCTAGAAGGAAGATGATTTGAGCCTCATAGAATCTTGTGATCTGAACAGCTGGATTCACCTATTCTCCAACGGAGTGGGAACCAGTCTCGTCAGTCCACCGCGTCCAGCCGAGGGCTGGTATTGGCCTTGCGCAACAGGCGCCATGGCCGACTGAGAGAGCATCCTCATCGGAAGTCCTTGCGGGTGTGCTGCGTGGGCCGGCATGGCTTGATCCAGATCTCCAGGACTGGGGTATCTGAGCGCACTCAGTAAATGAAAGGCTGGGTGGGGGACTAAAGAGCACACACCCTTGAAGACCGGGAGTGTACCCGGGGCTTGTTGGCTGCCGTGGGTTTCTCGAGCTATCAGAAATGGGAATACTGAAACTACGTTGAATGACGTGGGCACAGATCGCAGACTGGGTCGTTACTTAGTGCTCTGTCTGCTTTCGCGTTGGTATCTCAGCGTCAGGGACTCCAGCTATGAGAGATTTCCATAAGTGCGATTGAGCCATGAGACGAGGAAATGCTGACTTGATACTGGTCCCAGATTTGTTTAAGAACGGCACTAGGCGGATACTGAGATTGTGTGCGATCCGCCATGACCGCATAGAACATGCTCTTGTACCACGAATCCCATGTGTGGATCTTACGCAGCAATCTGTAGAAGTGCAGAAAAGTGTGATCAGCTTCAAGATAGATGGCAAACAATGACTTGAGCAAGTCGGGGGATACAATGCGCACTGATGAAGACTTTCGCCGACCCTTTTTTTCAGATCAGCATCCGATTCTCGTTCCAGCTCGGCGATTCGAGCTTCGATCTCAGATACTTGCTGCCTGTATTCCTCAGGCGAGAGGAGGAAACCGGAACGCGCGTTCTTCATCTCGAGTGGGGTGAGTACAAGACAAGTGATTGATGGGGTGTGCGAGAGACCCAACGAAATAAGTACAGGCCTCATGCCCACACTTAACATAATCGACGAAGTGCTCTGATCATTGAGTCACAACTTGGATCTCGGGCGTCAACTAGCCTTCGTGAGAGTCAGATATCTGAACAGCACCGGGAGCTGTCGGTGTGACTCTGCTCTTGATTGTTGGTGTGCGGCACGAAGCAAGGCGATTCTATAAGCGATTCGTGGGCTCATGAGAGAGTCTATCGAAATGAATCAAAGTGACTCGGTCGAGACCTTCAACTTGAACTTCTTGTTGATAGCAATGGAACGTTGATTCACGATCAGATGATCTTTCCCACGTGATAACATTAGCATTGCATTTCCCCGCCATCCCAGCCTTCCCTCGGTCGTCCCAATGGAAGGAACAGTCTCATCTTCTCCCTCAGAAATGCTGTACAATGTAGAGAAAATCTGGGTCATCCATCAGCCTTTCCTCCTAGCGCATGGCTATCAGTTGCGTGAGCGGTATCGGCCTGGGTGGCCGTGGGTTGGGACACATAACTTTGGCTTGTACGAGGACGATATCGCGAATTTCAAGGTATCCGGCAGTTCATTTTGCGATATCCACGCATTTCAAGGAATTGTCAGCCAAGCACTCTCGATGCGGTCCGACTCAGTGACGGTCAGAAGGTCGTTCTGAAGCGGGTCCAGACGAATGGTGGCGAACTGGCCATCCTTCGATATTTCGAAACATTCCGCTCTGATCCGCGCAATCGTACGGTGCCTGTTCTTGAGATCCTGAGTATGGAGGACACACCTTGGTCTTTCATCGTCATGAAGTACGCTCGCATATTTGTCTATCCACCCTTCCATTGTCGGCAAGAGTTCTTTGAAGCAATGCGGCAATATTTGGAGGTATATATCACGCTCTTATCCTCCTGTGCTTGCTTACACTCTCCTTCTGCAGGGCTTGGAGTTCATGCATGAGCATAATGTCGTCCACTTGTGAGTCAGCCTGGAACTGTGGCTGCCAAAGATGTTCTCATAATCCCAGTGACATTGCTATACAAAACATGACGATGGAGGAATCCCTCATCGTTCCCCGAGGATCGCACTTCTGCGACCAGCGCACGCATACAGGAAACTACGGGTGGTTCCGATGGCGAGATCGGTGCTCCGTGACGGAGCCCATAAACTATTACTACATCGACTTCGGCCTCTCCTTATACTTCCCAGATGGAACAGCCACCGCACAACACACAGCCTTACTCAGAACGTTCCCCGATTGTCCTGAGCTCTCGCTAACGAAGCCCTATAACCCATTCCGGGTGGATGTGTACCAGCTGGGATTGGCCATGCGGAAAGCTATCAAAGTGAGCCACCACCTCTTCGAGTTTTGGCTCATGCTGAGGTAGACGAGGATTATCCGGACCTCCAAGTCTTCCGGCCGTTGGCGGATGAGATGATGCAGGAGGACCCCGAATCTCGGCCCAGTCCTTCGGAAGCTCTAGCGAGCTTGCATAAGATCGCGGAATCGATTCCGCTGGCAGAGTTCCGAGCGCGAATATGGAAAAGAGATACCAGCATCTGGAAGAAGCTTTGTCGCTGGATTTTCGGAGGGTATTACAAGGATTATTTCTTTCTGGAGGACGATTTTGCTTTGAATGGCAAGTATTAAGAATGTGAGGACGTTGCTTTTCTCGACCGAAGCGCTTCTCAGCCATATACAAATCAAATGTATAATGGACGGTGTAGTTTGTAGTTCGTTGCTAACAATCCGTGAGGCTCGGATTGGCACATTGTGATCAACGTGACGACGTCACTATCGTTCTCCGAGACTCAGACCGCCCTGAGTCGGTGCTGTACACTCCAGGTTCTTCGTTCTGCGCCCATGAGTGACTCTGGTATCCCGACCACGAAAGAGCAGCTTGTTTCTCAGTTCGACCGGAGTGTCGCCACCGTTCAGGTGTACGCCGACGAGTGCGTGACGCCTCGAGGTTTCTCGTCTGTGCATGACGCCTGTGAAGATTGGAGCAAGTGTATGCACGCCCTGCTCTCCGACGCGCCACGATTTTCTTCAATGAGCAGCCAATTGCCTCGGTGCGCATATGCCCTATTCTGCAAGTTCTTGGGTTGTTTCGCTTACGGCTGGCCATCGCAGGTCTTCCTCTTCGTGTTCCTTGGTCTGGCATTCTTTCCCATCTTGACGTTCCTGTAGGCGGATCGAGACTCCCCCGATTTCACACGGAGCACGATTCTGACCCCCGTGTCTTCAGGACAGCCTCTGTGTTAACTGTCCTCTCGCTGTCGCTCCTGGCGCTTGGGATCGTCTTGGCTCTATCCTGCACTTCGATACTGTTCTTCTGTGCGCCCATCTCCTCTGATATACCAGCATGCCAGCAGCTCACCTTTCTTCAGTCTCTATCCTCGCGCTAATCCTGATCGCGGTCTTCTTCGTCTCGATATTTACAACGACTGCCGCCTTCTCATCATATTCTGCTTATCGTCTCGTGGTGTCCGTGCGCTCTGCAGGTCGTGAAGGGGTCTGGGACTGGGTGGAGGAGACGAAAGGATATATCATTAGCCAGGGAGACGCAACGGGCAGGGGACGGTATTCTCCCGACGACACGACGGAGGATGGAGAGCCTCTTATGACGACAGAGGCAGTAAGCTAAGATGCCGCTCCGTTTCACTGTCGCTTAGTGATCTCGAACAGCACGACAGCAGCGACATCAAGGAGGAAACGTAGTTGCTTTCTACTTGTTAGTCCCGCTTGAATTCGACGACTCGAAGACCCATGCTGCTGAACTACAAAAATGCAAGGTTCCTGGGTTCTTGTGGGGTGTTGTGACAGGGACTTCAGCCCCATCGACAGGATAAGACATTGTGGCGATCATTCATCCATATCTTTTGAAGAATGCGACCGGTGTTCGAAGTGCGAGCTATCCTGGATAGTATTCAACCGGCACGGATCGCCTCAAAGACCCGCCGATTGTGGGACCTCGAGCGGAGAAAAACCAATCCCGATCGCTCAACCGAGATATCAGACCATGGGCAGGTCTCACAAACAAGTTATGTACCATGAAGCGAGAGCGACATGGGCGCACAAGCTGGGACGGGGCTGCCAGACTCTCAAGAGACTATCGATGAGTGAGTCGGTTTTCGACATTCCGTTCGGACCTTCTTTGGAAATTTAGTGCTGTTTTTCACTGTCACGGGAATAAGTGTGAAGGTCCAGCTTCGTGTGCTGTCACTTTCATTTGTTTGAGTGTTCATAGAGCTAGCTTCAATTTCCGTTTGGACTGCACAATCTTTGGAAACACCATCAGTCACGCGTGACACTACGCGCCAGGAGAAGATAATCTGATCATTCTACTTGTGAGACTGAGGCTTGGACCCGTTGGGAATTTGCCAGTCATCCAGTGGTATCAGGCAAGCAGCCCCAATAATCAGAACTAATCGTGCCGCAAGTCAATCCGGCATTGCAAGTCGTTGGGCCTGTCCAACCAGTTCCACCACATTGAGCGTAGAGCTTCAAGTGAAGATCAAGCAACGTTACATGCTCTTGAAATCTAGACGCACCGTGCCGGGTAAGGGAACGCACTGCCAGTGGTATATATTTAGGAATACGCAATGTTGGTCTGAAGGACATGTCAGAGGGCCTGTCCAGGACACCCCGCCACACTGTCGGCGATTAGAGCATGGAATTGTGACCGGGGCATTGCCAGACATACCTGCCCCCATGGGGGCGCTTGAGCAGAGCTGAGGTGCACATGGAAGAGGACTGCGACAGCCAAAGAGAGGTAGCTAGCGATCATGGCTCCGTGCAGCAACACCTTGAGATTGACGCACATTATAGCCAAAAACCGCACCGAGAAAATGCCTTTTCTTCGGTAGATTACTATGAATGCTGATATGTAGGCGTAGGACACCTGAGCAAGTTGAGCTGATACCTCGACAGCGGATCGGGCGCGCCGGATTGAGCACGGCGGTGAGGGAAATGTTCATAGTCACACTCCAGGTCAATTCGACCACTTGAGGAGTCCCACTAGTTGAAAGACCACTTCCAAGACCGCTTGACCATCATCTGAACAGACAAGAACTTGAAACAAATGGAAAGATGGGCTGGATCACATACCTGATCAGAGACCAGTTCGTAGTTGGTATCGATCGAGGAAGAGCACACAGGCTGGTGATCGGACACGAGAAACATGTCCAAGTGAGTAGTATCTGCTCTCGATTCTGCTGGGCAAGTCGTGGTCAGCCTTCATGTGACATTGACACCGAATGTCTAATTGAAACAATTGAGGGTGCGAGACAAGATGATTGAGGCTGAAGTTTTTCCGAGATGGAGCCCCTAGTTGGCGAAGGCTGCGATGCATAGCTCGCGTAGGGACAAGGCAAGGGCGAGCAGCGAACGAGCAGGGGAGATATAGCGTGCTGACTCATTCATTCTTACATGTCCGTTTCCAACAATCACAGAGGCACAGCCACTTCGGGCTTGATTCGTCTGTTCCCGAGTCGTTTCCATCTCTCAGCAGTGTGCACCCAATCTCATTTCGATTACGCCTGGAACGCTCGAACTCTTCGCAAAACTCATGGACTGCAAATCTATTGAGAACATCGTGTATCAGCTCGCCAATTCTCAGGATCCCATCGCACCTCTGGTCAAGGAAGCTCTCGAAGTCATTGATGTGGCGCTGGACACCCATGGGTAGGCGGGGCTTCAGACTTTCGCTTTCACGGATACAAATACCCTTCAAGGACGGAACACGTATCCATCAGCTTCAATGGGGGCAAGGACTGTGAGTGTGTGCGAGTGCTGTGGTATTCATCCGAGCTGATGCTTCGGGAGGCACCGTTCTCCTACATCTCTATGCAGGCGCTCTAGCAAGACGACTCTCCCCTTCAGAATGTATGAAACCCATCCCGGCTCTCTACATCGCTGTGCCCTCCTCGTTTCCACTTCTGGAGACCTTCATAGAAGAGTCGGCTGCCAGGTACAACCTGGATATATTCCAGTGCCGACCGCCTTCAGAACTTGTGGAGAGTGTCGTCACACCCGCTCCCGTGTATAGTGCCGACTATATCGCGTCGGCACCCAAGTCAGTGGGTAAGGCCAAAGGCGCGGAGGGTATGAAGCAGGCACTACAGATCTACAAGGACGAGTTCCCTCACATAACGGCCATCCTTATCGGGACACGACGAACTGATCCCCACGGTGGTACGTACTTGTATGGATGTGTGTTTGGTGCCAAACCGACTCTCGTAGCCACCTTGTCCCATCGGAATATGACGGATCCTGGATGGCCTCAGTTCGAACGCATCAATCCCATTATCAACTGGGACTATGCTGACGTGTGGACTTTCCTGCGGAAACTGGATGTGCCGTACTGCACTCTATATGATTACGGGTTCGTATCACCGACCGCGATCTGCCGATATGGAGCTCACGGCATCCAGATACACATCCCTGGGATCAACATACAACACGTTCCCGAATCCAGCCCTTTTGGTGGAAACACCTCTGTCTTCGTCGCCCAATTCACATTCTGAAATGGCTGATCCCAGCGTCTCGGAAGTTTCTTCGGCAAAGCCGCTGGTGGAGTCCTCATCACATCCAGCATCGACACGATCGCAGCTGGATCCCACCTCGTTGCCCGATCGGCCATCGTATCGGCCTGCCTATGAATTGATTGAGGGTACGCTTGAGCGAGCCGGGAGAAGTTCCGGGATATTGCCTCCCCAGAACGCATGAAGACTGAATATCAAAATATGACGAAATCGTATATCTTGACGAATGTATTAGAGAGTTGTTGTATCTTTGTTAGATATCCGAACAGAACCTTATTACTGTCCCCCTGGGCCAGTTGCCATCACATAGCAATTTACCGGCCACCTACATTACTTGATCGGACCGGCTTTTCACCCTCACTCACCAAGGACCACCACTATGCCGAACGTTGTACTGGTGACGGGCGGCTCTGGGCTCGTGGGCAAGGCCATCGAGCACATCATCAACACCGAGCCTGAAGGTTCTCGCTTCGGCAAACTCCCTGGAGAGACATGGATCTTTGCCACTTCGTCCGAGGGCGATCTTAGGTATGGGCTGGCATCTTTCCGTCCATCGGGTCTTGAGCGAGCTCCTACAGAGATGCAGCGCAAACACTGGCATTGTACGAGAAGTACAAGCCTACTCATGTCATCCATCTCGCGGCTCTCGGTTTGTAAGCACATTAGGTTTTCGGTCACTGCTGATCAGTCTCTCAGTGGGGGGACTGTTCAAAAACATGAAGTTCAAGGCAGATCGCACCATTCTCACACTCCAATACGGCGCTGACGCCTTCTCAGCTCACGATGCTCCGCGACAACATGCTCATCAACGAGAACGTGCTGAACGCGTCGTATGTTAACAAAACTACGAAACTGATCTCCTGTCTCTCGACTTGCGTCTTCCCGGACAAGGTCACCTACCCTCTGGACGAGAACAAGATCCACGACGGGCCGCCGCACGAGAGCAACGCTGGATATGCTCATGCGAAACGCATGGTCGATGTGCAAAACCAGTGCGTGTCCTCGCAACTGTTACTCGATCGCCCAGACTGAGAGATCTGCAGCGCGTACAAGGACGAGTTCGGCTGCAATTTCACCTCTGCCATTCCTACCAATATCTTCGGGCCGTACGATAACTAGTACGTTCCCCTTGCAACACTTGCAGGTGCCCGGATAGATCAGAGACCTAGCGATCTTGAGGACGCCCATGTCATCCCCGCCCTCGTGCACAAGTGCTACCTCGCAAAGCGTAAGCCGCGTTTTCACCTCGATATCTCCCCTTCAAACGCCGACACTCGATCAGAGAACGGCACACCCTTCATCGTTGCTGGGACTGGGAAGCCGCTTCGTCAATTCATCTTCTCGCACGATCTCGCCAAGCTGTTCATCTGGCAGCTACGCGAATATGACGACGTGGAGCCGGTCATTCTGTCTGGTGTGTCCAGGGCTCTGGGTTCCAGGTGTATGCTCTGATCCAAGCGATCACAGTCGGTGAAGACGAGGAAGTGAGCATCAAGCAAGTGGCCGACGCTATCGTCAAAGCCGTCGGCTTCGAGGGAGAGTACAGTGTATGTCATGGGCCTTCGATGCTTTCAATTCATGCTGTTGACTGTTGGTGACGCAGTTCGACACGACCCGCGCTGACGGCCAGTTCCGGAAACCGGCCACTAACAAGAAGTTGATGGGTCTCATTGGCGATTTCCAGTTCACCCCATTCGAGGAAGGTGAGTATCCTTCAACTGGCCCTCAAGGAAGAGTTGAATCTTGTTTCAGCGCTGGATTACAGCGTGAAGTGGTTCCTTCAGAACTACGACACAGCGCGCACTGGTGTGAAGAAGGCGTGATGATTTTGGCTAGATAGATTCTGCAGTGTCGGAAATGTATCCTGTTGATTGTAGACCGAAAAGGAATTCGTTGAATCATGTTGTAGATCTCAAGTAGAGTAAGGTGGCATGAGGTGTGAGGGATGGTCCACATCTTCCTCTAACGCCATAGTCGGAACTGGGAATCATGAGTCGTGATCCGTTATCTACGTATATGCGTGCAAAAGTCCTGTATCTAGTACAATCCAACATGAATTTCCGAGCGCTAACCTACTTTTAAAGTCGTCCTAGTTCTGATCCTCGACCATCAGTTGCGACGCCTTAACGTCAGCTTCAACCATTTCTTTCACAAGCGACGGGAAGTCGACCTGACGCTTCCAGCCCAAAAGGCGCTCAGCCTTGGCAGGGTTTCCCAGGAGTAAACTGAACCGGTGTCACAGACAGCCACGGATTGAATGAAACGATCTATCACTCACTCGACTTCAGCAGGACGGAAGTACTGCGGGTCCACTTTGACGACCACGTTGCCAGTCTTGACGTCGACGGCTTGTTCCTCGACACCGCTGCCAGACCACCTGCGGACGTGAGTCAGGGTGTTAAAAATCGAGGATCTACACACTTGAGTTGAATGCCAACAGTTCCGAAGGCGCGCTCAACGTATTCCCGAACGGGATGGGTCTCGCCCGTCGCCAACACAAAGTCTTCCGCTTGAGGTTGCTGCAGCATCAGCCACATGCCCTCGACATAGTCGCGTGCATGACCCCAATCACGCTTCGCATCGATGTTGCCGAGGTACAGGCATGATTGCTTGCCAAGCGAAATATCGGCAACGGCGCGTGAGATCTTGCGAGTCACGAAAGTGCGGCCGCGGCGTGGGCTTTCGTGATTGAACAGGATCCCGTTGCACGCATATAGCCCGTAGGACTCGCGGTAGTTCACGACGATCCAGTACGCGTAGAGCTTGGCGCAGCCGTAGGGGGAACGGGGGTAGAAGGGGGTGGTTTCGCTCTGGGGAGTCTCCACGACTTTGCCGTACAGCTCGGATGTGGAAGCCTGGTAAAAGCGGACATGTTTCTCAAGTCCGCATGTGCGCACCGCATCCAGGAGGCGCAACGTGCCTAAGCCATCCACATCCCCCGTGTACTCGGCCATCTCAAAAGACACCTTCACATGCGATTGGGCGCCAAGGTTGTAGATCTCGGAGGGCTGGACCTGCGCGATGATGTAGACCAAGTTGGTGCTGTCGCTCAGATCACCGTAGTGCAACTTGAATTTGCCAGGCCCTAGACAAAACCGGTAAGATTTGGGCCGAATAGAAGATGCCACACCCACGTTCGTGCTGATCTTCGTACAGATGGTGCAGACGACCAGTGTTGAAACTGGAGGATCGACGGATGATACCGTGGACCTGGTAGCCCTTGGAAAGGAGAAGTTCCGTGCTGAAGCGCGGCATTGTAAGGAATAGTTAAGAGTGGCTTGAGAAACTTTTACAGGTAGGAGCCATCTTGACCAGTGATACCTGCACGCGACGCGTCTCATCAGCGCAAGATCGACTCGAATAGGGAGATATTCAAACCCGAGATTAGAGCGACCTTTCGCTTATGGTACTCTTCGGGGGAAGGGAGGTTCTTGAGGGCAAACGGGTGGAATTCAGACATGATGGTGGTGGTCAAAAGCAAGGAGATGGTTTGCCGCGACACTTCCTTTTGAGGAATTATGAAACTTCACGCTTTTGAACAGCCGGCGCGGTGCCTTCTTGCGTTATCAGGACGTGCGTGCAAACAGACAGAACATCATCTTTTCAATGAGTTTCGACAGTCTCCTCGTACAGGCTGCTGTCTGAGAAGGTGGGAGCACGCAAGAGATTGCAAGTCTTACATTCTCGTATGTTCTTGGGAGATTCAGAGTGAGCTCTCAATATACTTACAGCTCTGTCCTGACAGAACAGATCCTTGCCATAGATATTGAACTAGTAAATATTCCTGCCTCGATGTCGGCGATAGTTATCTAGTGAAGAGATTCATGCAAGTCTAAGGCGATCATTACAGGATTGCAGGGTTGATCGCTTTGATGGGAAGAACAGGGTAACATCCACCAACTTGCAAAGTTTATCTGTGAGCTTCTTAGTAAGAGCGAGCAAGCTCATTCCGACCCGCGAACATAAGACGATAGGGGCCCGGTGAAAGAGAGTTCCCATTTGTAGAACTTAGACGTTTGTTTGATCGCGTTTACGTGAAGCCACTCGGCTCTTTTCCTCCTCTTGCTGGCAAGCATGGGCGGCAAGTCTCGAAATTTGGGTGTCGTTGGACAGATCCGCCAACTGCCTACCCCGGTTGCGCTGCTCATCGGTGTCCTCTTTGGGCTCTTCGTCTCTCGTTTGATACCGTGGACAGCCTCGACCAGCACATGGAGGGGATATAACGTGGTCGCGAAGTCCCGACAACAAACGCGACAACCTATCCAACTTCCCACTGCTGACCAACGTCAGCGGGTCTTCGAACTCTTGTCTACCCTTTCCCCCCGTTATACCAAGGAGTGCACACGAAATACCCAACCCCTGTACGAGAAACAGGCCACTGAGCGCTATGCCGGGCTCATTGGACATAATATGCCTTTGAGGAGCTCCTGGCTAGGCGGGCTCGGTATGGGAGGCGGTGTGGAGGCTGATTATCAAGACTACACGCGCAAGGACGTGGGCTCTTCCGAGCACAAGTACTTCTTCGCGATCAACCTCTACAACTCTTTCGACGTCATTCCGGATCTCTTCGCCACCCTCTTTCGAGTTGCTTCCATCCTCGGTTATCACAATGTGTTCGTTTCGATATACGAGAATGGTTCCACGGATCAGACAAAGGCTCTTTTGCGGATCTTCGACGCGTTGACCAGGAGCGTCGGCATGCGCATTACCATCCGCACATCCACTCGCACACGCGGTGCTTTCAACCACCGCATCGAATACCTTGCAGAGGTGCGAAACGCCGCGTTCGTTCCTCTCCACGAGCTGCGTGACGCTGAAAATGAGTTCTTCGACACGATTGTTTTCATGAACGATATCCTGCCCTGCGTCGACGACTTGCTCGAGCTGATCTATCAGTCACGGCTCAACAATGCTGGCATCACTTGCGCGGCGGACTACATGTATCACGATGAAATTGGTGCCCCAGTCTTCTATGACAACTGGGTGGCCCGCGACATCAACGGTACTGCGCTCGAGAATGCACCTTTCGAAACAATTTTCCCCCATGGGCCATCCAGCGATCGTTTCCAAAAGCACCTCCCCATTCAAGTGCAGAGCTGCTGGAATGGAATCGCCGTGCTGGATCCCGCCCCGTTCTACCTTCCGCCTCACGTCCGTTTCCGGATGGCCCACATCACACAGGGCGAATGCAGCGCCAGCGAATGCTCTCTGATTTGCAATGACTACTGGGAAGCAGGTTACGGCCGTATCATGATGGTTCCTCGTGTCAAGCTGGCGTATGACCGACGGGTGTTCGACATCATACATCCTGAACGTCGGAATTTGACCGCCATTCGAGGTTTCGTTCGGATGGGTGGTCTGCCAGACGATCCAAGGACTGATCCGCAAGATCGCTCCTGGTTCGGTCCCCACGATCGGTTGTTTATCGAAGAAGAGGCCGAACCGTTGGAGTTCACTGCCGGTCCTTCCCATGGTGAGTTGCTCACCGTTTAGCGCGTTTTTGGCTGATAAGGATCACAGTGTGGTGCTGGGGATGGGACGGCGCAGGAGACCTGGAAGGCCCCGACGTCGATCCTATCTGGGAGAAAATGTCAAACAAGTCGACGATGGCCGACTCTGTTGTTGTGAAGCATGTCCGCAGTCTGCCTTAGTCACGTTTTGCCTGGCTGTAATATCGTATCGTTATTCTCCTTTTTGGACGGGGAAGCTGCTAATAGACTGTAACATTATTGTAATCAACTCCACCGAGTGGCTTGGACAATGAGGGCTTCAATATGTATTGCGGTGAAACAGGGTGCGGCCCACAGACCGCAGCGATGCTCGGGAAGCTCGCCGTGACAGAGAAAATGATCGTTTGGGTTTAAGGCGGAGGTGGTTCCAATGTTTGACCTGAACCCAACATGCGTATGGAACGTTGCCATTCGCCTGTCCAAACGACCAACTGGGATACACATCCGTCGCCTGCACCTGGGCAATCACCGGATTGATCGAGCCACGGCAGTTGTGACGGTGTACGGAGAATTCCGTTCCCTCCACTACTCCTTGCAGAGAACCGAGATGGACGCGCAGCACCCTATGCCCCAAAGCATGGTCTGCCGGTATGTAATTCACATCGTCGGGGGGGAAGGGCACGCCATTGAAAACGAGGTGGTCGGCGCCAAACAGAGCTGGACGCTGGCAGTCGCCTATCTTGCCGCGGATAAGCTCGATCAGCTTTGGGAATGTCGTGGCATGTAGCGCCGTCTCGCGCGCCGTCTCCAAGAACGCGGATGTGAATTTGCCTCCATCTTTGCCCTCTAGCGACCGTTCTCCGGGGCCGCAGGCGACGAGAAGCGTCCCGGGCATGTCGTAGAAGCGTTTCGGACTGCCAGGGTTCGACAAGCGGATCTTGGGATTGAGAGGCGTCCAACGTGTCCGGCCTCGATCCGTAGGCGAGAAACACGAGTCCAGCATGACAGTGATATTTGTCCCCTTGGCCTTTGCCAGTTCCTCCACCATCCCGTGCAGAGCGTAGTCTGTGATCCCCTGGATGCCCTGATGTCCGCAGTCGTAGGTGCAGAGAACTTCGGTGGTCCCGTTAAATGTGCTTCCGCGGCATGCAAAATATATCAAGATCGCATCGCCCTCTTGGATGCGTTCGTTGTGCAAGAAATGACGACTGAACGTTTGCTCGATATTTTGTTTCGTCGCATGTTTGTCGGTCAGCGTCCAGATCTGATTCTTGGGCAGTCCAAGATCTTTTTGCAGCCAACGCTCGATCTTATGGGCGTCGTCGACACAAGACTCGAGATTCCAGATCTGCAAAATGAGAGTGAGACACACGGACACAGCGGAATAATAAACGAACACACTGAGCCTGTTTTGTACTTGTCAATGCCGATCACGAGCGCAAACATTCGTGGGTGGGACTGCAGCACGCAAGTCAGAACAACTCTTCGCGGGAAATCGAGAGCTACACACCTCCATCGCCACAGACAGGTGGGACAACGTTCTGGCGAGTTCATTATAACGGGGGAAAGAGAAGCAGCTCCGCAGTTAGCGTGGATTCTCGATCGTGTCGAGGGAAGCGGAGCGTGAGTTAAGCCCCTTCAAGGGCATAGATCGTTTCAGCGCCTTAGTTTCGAATCCCATGCGCATCCAGAAACACGATCGCCTCACACCAAAAACGCGTCTGATGCTGCCAGCGATGTCTCGGGTGATGTAACATATGACGAGTCCGCGCAGAGTCAAGAGAGGATATCCAATTTGGTGCGGAGGACCTCACTGCATGCCAGACGAAGATGTCAGGCGATTGCGAAGCGTGCCCGTTTGGAGATTGCAGACATCGATGGACAAGCACGGATGCGTCCGGAAAGACTTGTAGATGCCGGGCCTGCGATGGGCACCAACGCAAAAGGTAATGCGCGACGTGTGGGGCAACTGAGATATCTTAGCGTGTCGAGAAGACGCCCATTTAGGATCTTGGAAAATGTGCTCCTGCTCTCCATGTCAGGTGAGCGATGTCCCGAGATGGTCGGCGAGAAATCCAATCACCAAATAGTCTCGGCCGAGGGTGTCCATTCTCAGTGGTCATCTCGTAATTTATCGAAACAGCTATCGAGTCCCTTTGAACAGTAGAGAGGCAGTAGCGAAGGGATTCATCGATAGAAGATTCCCATTCAAGAAGATTGTGAGAACGGTTAGAGCGAGCGTCGAACGCCGCGCGGTCGGAGGTGTGCATTCAGCAAGTTCATGAGGAAAGAGAGCTCACGTCACTCAACGTTCTGATGGCTGTGATGCGGAGTTTGAAACACTCTCAATGTCGTCCTCATCAACCCCCGAAGAGAGTTCCCTTGCTACTGAGTCGGCGGAAGCGTCCTCCTCAAAACCCGCCGTTACAGAGGAAACTAAAACAAAGGAGACTTCCACCAAAGACTCTGCCGAAGGCTCCAAGGACGGAACGAATGATGCTGAGGAGGAAACCGACGAGGCTGAGACTGAGGCCGCAACACTAGCGGAAGGCGCATCGACCGCACCTCCCGCTCAAACGGCCTGGCAGGCCATATTCTCCGCTCAACATGGTGCCTATTATTTCTACAACTCCGAGACGCAGGAAACGACGTGGGTGAATCCACTGGAGCCTCCTCCGGCCGACGCAACTCCGTCCGGTTCGGCACCTGCCACTGCTGCCGACGTGACCGACTCCCAGGCGGGCTCGTCGAGCACAGATGCCGGTCCATCTCATCTCCCGCGATACGCTGCACTGCAGAATGCCGCCATGGCGCAGGGCATCGACCCGTCCCTCGCGTACCTCGACCCCTCACTGCTGGCGGACCCGGGCGACAAGTCTGGGATGAGTTTCCAAGCCAAATTCAATGCGAGGACGGGGCAGTTCTCCGCGATGGATTCGCGCACTCCAGCGCACCTTTCCGAGTACGAACGCGCTCAACGAATGAGCGAGGTGTTCTTCGATGTGAAAGCTTGGGAGCAGAGTTGGAATAAGGACACTGAGGAGGAGGATGGCGTGGGCAAGAAGAGGAAGCGGCCCA